TTATTTCTCTTGTTCACTTGATAACCAACTCAAGCAAATAACATCCTACTTTGTTATTGATAAAGTCTGCTAATTCTAAAGGAGGAATTGGCTATGTCTTCTTTACCATTAAATAAAAATTTGGCACATTATTAATAATTTTTTTCTTCTCATAACAGATAATAGGCAAATGTAGAGATTTACAATCACTGAGAAATTTCAACTTTAAAAGGAATAATATATGGTAAATAATTAATTTGAAAAGAATATTATATATTACGCATTTATCTTTTTTCTAGTTAATAGTTCTACTAGAGATACTAATTACAAATAAACTGAATCATTTACTGCTGATTAAAAATATTATTAAGATAAGATAGCTTTAGGTGGTGATTCAGGTGTGTAGTGAAGGTCCTATCATTATATCAATCATTAAAGATAAATTCACTAAAGATATATCAACTAAAATCAAAAGATAACATTTTAATAAAAAATCATTTGTTTATTTTTTTTTAAAAAAAAAAATATTATAATGTAAAAATTAAATTCAGACTTAATCTATAAAATCTCTATTTTTATTAATCATAGTCTTTTTACTCAAGATTTGTTGTAGAATTTAATTTGAAACTAATCTCCTATTAATAAACATTTAATATTTTGAACCTTTACAAAATGTACGATTCTGTACATAACTGAATCTACTACGTAAATTCCTACATTACGAAAAAATATATATGTATTAACATTTTATATTAAATCAAAATCATCTTGGATTTGAAAATTAATTACCACCCTGTGAGTTTGCTTAATAAATCATCGCCTAATCCAATCCTTTTTTCTATCTCTAATTTGTACTAATTGCTTTGTCGGCTTCATCTATTAATGCCAACTCTTACCGCTTCCATTTCATTCCATAGTCTGAAAGATGATTTGAAATGATGGTGATGTTGTTGTACCTAAAAGAATAGAAGAAAATTATTTTATAAAAAGATATAAATTACGTGAAGAATCAGTAATTATACAATATTACTTACATTCACAATAATCACATAATAGTTCTGTAGCTTCAATGGACGTTGTTGCAAATGGACATCTTTGTCCTGCAGGTCAATTATGTGTTATAAGATGCCTAATCAAATAATAAAAAATAAAGTTACATGAGAAATTAATTCTATTTTTTATTAAATATGATAATATTACAATCAGGTATTTTACTTACTTTCGATAATCATCAACATCTTTTTCATAAATTTGTGCATATTTTCAAGTTCTAAATATTCGACCTTGATGAATTTCCCATTTTGTGCTTCAGTTGCGAATCCAATTTTTCGCCATTTACCACCTTCTTCATGCAGATTTGCTTTTGTCCATAATTCTTCCAATATTACTTAATGTGATGGAATATGTAATGATACTTGTGTCCTTTTCCATCAATATGCTTGTCGTACGAAGAGGGATTGAAATTCTAGCAATTGCTTTTCCATATATGACATTCATTAATAACTAGGATAAATTAAGAATTCAATCAACGTTAACACAAAGTCATTAAAATAAAAATTTTGATTACTCGTAATACTTCATACATACCATGACAGTTTTTCCTGACTTTAGCTTAATCATCATATCCGTTATGATTTTGTTTATAATTTTAATCATGTATTACGTCAAAGCAGTACCGAAGTTACTATAGAATTATCTGCTATAGATAATTTAATAATTATGGTCATGGCAGGTCTACGAATAATGTTTGCTTCACTAAATGTTATCATCTAAAGAAAATAAACAAAGAAACTTAATTAGATAAATGAATCTTATTGAAGATGAAAAAATAGAACATATTTGGTTACGTACTTTATTGATAAATGGAATACTACTGTAAACTTTCTCATTCCCACGATCATACATAAGCAAGAATACTCCCCCTAAAATTATTTATTATAGTAATAAAAGATTTTAAACCATTTCACCTTAAAAACTCACCAGCAAACCTATTTTTTTTAAAAAAATGGAGCATAGATAAATATAAAAGCTTACCTTGACGTACTTTTTGAAAAGAGATAAATTATTTATTTAATTCCACTATTACTTATTGTTATAATATTTACATATAATACCCTAATTTTTCTAATTTTTCGCAAATTTCATCCGCTCAATCAACGGCGGACGAAACTAAATCTTAATCGTCCATTATTTTTTATTTTTGTCAGAGATTTCAAAGCCAAATGTAAAAAAAAAATTATTTTTTGTTTGATCCATTATCTGCATATATAATTAGTTAACTTAATTAAACATTTGGCTATTCGAACATAAGTCAAATTATTTGATAAAAGAAAAGTTGATAAAAAATCTCGGTTGCTTAATCATTACATCGTGTAATACACTAAGGATAAACTTTTATATATTATCAATTAAATAATTATAAATCGCGGAAAACCGGCTTACAAAATTTACTAACATTTGAGTTTCATCAAATGAAAGAAATTTCGAATACAACATTTATAAGAGTATGCATTATGTAAGTTAAATCGTTGAGAGAAAATTTACGCCATTAAATAACTATAAAAGTGATCAACATTATTTGGTAGCACAAATCAAGTAAATATTTAAAATTTTTACAGTTGGCGACACAAAATGATTTTCATATTTGAGATCGGATTTGTTTTTTATTGTGAACTTTAAAATTTAATGGTATTGCAATTTACAGGACAATTAAAAAGATTTGAAGAGAATGAAGTAATACGTACTCAGAAAATTAGAAATTAGTTTAATTAAATACAGTAATGCATATATATAAAATAATTTATTAATATCTTTAAAGTTTAAATTCTTTTTAAGCTAAATCTCATTTATCTAGTAAGTAATAATATTCCTCATTAGTAATTTTGGATTGTGTGAGCAAATTTACGTCATATGAAATTTGTGTAAAATTTTTTTGCCATCTCTTAAGTACTAATATTATATTATATAATTTTTATTTAAAATAAAATTTAAAATACTGTAGGGGCGTTAAAATTAACTCCGGTTATTCAGAATCTCCTTCAAGAGACTCTCACAGACTGTTAAAGAAAAATAGCAATAAAGAATTGAACATATAATCATAAAATATAACTTTATAAATTATTTTATTACATTATTTCATCCTTTAATGTTTAATAAATTAACGTTTTGACCGTAATCTTTTTAATAATATGAATGAATTTTTATATAACTTTTCTCGATGTATTATAAATTTTATCTTGTTAAATTTCTTATCAAATAACGATTTCATGTATAGAATTATAATATACTATACCAATAATAACATTTTTGTGGTGCAGTAGGTTAATAAGATTCTGTCTTAATCTGATCAATCAGTTCAGAACAAGGAAGAATTTAAGAAAAACCCCATTTTTTTACCCGGTCTTTCAACATTTTATCTGATGTTGATCTTATAAAGGGTAAGACAACCAAGATCGTAAATTTTCTGAAAACACTCGTAAATTATAATGAGGGTTGACCATTAAATCTTCTCTTACTCTACATAATAGGATCATAATAAGGATCTACTTTATTGGAGGGTATACCTGCTGATTGGTGGTCCCTAAAAAAAGTGGACGTAGGTTTGAGACTAGTCTATAATTAGTCAATTTGCAACACAATTTAATCTCAAAGAAAGAATAAAAGGAGGACTTATTATAAGGTGAGTCCAGAATTATTGAGGAAAGTGCACTAATTGGCTGAAAATATTTGTAATGAATGCTTTATCCATTTTTCATACTTTTCGCCTTATTTTCTATATTATTTTACTTTATATTTTATTTAGTATTCAATTATATTGAAATTCTTTTGATTTTTTTTACTTTACTTTTGAAAATATACTGAATTATTTATATAAATTCGTCGATAAATAATAGTGGATATTAAATAATTATCATATATTTTTCAGCACAATTACGTCAGAAAATAATTTATTGGTATTCGCAGACAATGTTTCGTAGACAAACATCTCACTGACAAATGAATTTAGGATTAAAGTTAAGGTTATGTAAGAAAATCAGGGTTGGGATTAGGCTAGGATTAGGTAGGGGTAAGTGATTAGAATTCAAAACTGTCGGTGAAATGACTGTCGGTGAAATGATCCTGTCTGTGAAATGATTGTCGGCTGTCGGCGAGATAATTGTTGAAATGATTGTCGGTAAAATGAGTCGGTAGCGTAAGATGGTATCCAGTTAATTTTAATTCCAGGCTCTATGATGAAAATTGTAACGATAGAAGCGAGCTTAATAATTGCCCGCATGGAACCATAGCTGCAATAAAATATTCAATGCACGTTAAGGTGAGTGAAAATACCCATACGCCATAGAAATCTGGTAAGGGTATTAAAAGGGATCGACAGAAAAAAAGGATTAACGGAAGTATTATCTAAATTTATGAGAAAAGTGCAAATCGATGAGGAAGTGGTAAGTGAGAGACAGTTGTTTTTGAAGAATAGTCATCAGAATGGAAATATTTTTTTTTTATCTAATTAGTATTTCCGTTATCTGTTATATTGATGTAACTCAATTTATTTATTATCCAGTAAATCTGAACATCTTCAGGTGGTTTACATAACAACAAATTACTTTATCATTCTATTATTTCAATGGTGTATGAAATAATGAACCAATGGCATAATACTATTTTAATGACTTAAAATGGCGATAATCATAATCTGCAATTCATGGTTTAACAATTTTGCATTAAAGAATATTTCTTAAAAGAAAGACTTTCTATTAAATTATTTCTTTTGCCGAAAGCGCCATATAAAAAAAAAAGAAAAATATATATACTGTACATATTCCCGAGATAAAAACCTGCATATAGATCAAAATACCCGAAACTAATGTATATCATTTGATATGACGCCGAAAAGAAGAAATTATCTACATTATTAGTTGCATATTGAGCGACAAGCCTATGTAAATACCCGGTTATAAATCAATTTATCCGATTTTAAAACATTGATTTAGACCCGAGGTATAACTTCTATCCCGTTTGTACTTTTAATACTGTATATAGTTGTAAATTATGGTTTTAATTTGATGATTTTTTTGATCCACATATTACATGTCTTGTAGGTATTAATCTTTAGCCAGTAATCTTTAATTGGTAACTTGACAATAATTCTAGAAAGGTATTACTAAATCGTATGGTCATGTATGCACTGTACGGTTTTTAATCTATAATACAGACTTGTAAAAAATCATACGTGCATGGATTTTCAACATACAAATATTTGCTATGCTATTTATTCCGCAATAAATCATAATTTAGTAAAATAATATTACTATTTTATTATATTAATATAACAAAAAGAAAATTAATTTTCTAATAACAAGCAAATAATACACGTTTATTCAGCTGATACTTAGATCATTAATCAAATATATTTGCATATTGAATAAGAAAGATTTAATTAAATGGATAATCAAATTCAGTATTGTAAATCTAAAATTATGTTAATATGAATCATTTATAACTAAGAATCAATTTCCGAATAAGCCTATCAACCTAGGTTAATTGTGCATATATTTGGATTTGATGAACAAACTGTTAGATTGTTAGATTGAATTAGTAGATAAACGAATTTTTTTTGAATTGGGTTCACCATTTTAAAAGGTTTTTAACCGTTTATTTCTTACAAGAAAATATCTTGCGTACAGTTATTTAATAATTAATATTAAGGAAATTGGAAGAAAATTAAATAAACCAATAGAAATATTAATATCAAATTCTTTAAAAGAGACGTTCATGGCCAGTCATTATGTATACGTTGGTGATCAAAAACCTTGTGTAAAAACCATACAAACCATACCATACATGTTCATGAATTCCAAAACTCCTATATGCCCGAAACTCCGATATACTTATCAGTTGAATTTAAAAGTAGTAAAATAAAAATAACCAATTCTATCTCTATTTGAATCATTTTTATTACATTTATTGCATAAATTACTGTTTCATAAATTCATTGTCTCTTTTGTTTCATATTATTTTATTATAATTGATAAGGATCCATCTAAAATCCCGTTTCAGAATAATGCAAGATTGATAATTATAGGACGATTATCGTAATTTTATATGGGTAGCACAATTCTGAATTCTGAAAACAGCGATAAAATCGGTATAAATAATATTGAAACAATAAGAATTTTAATTAGGAACTTTGATTAAATTAATGATTTTCTAAAATCATGCAATTAATTCGATATTATTTTGTCTTACTTCGATCGGAATCGTCATTAATTTATATAGTATATAGGCAATATTCAGTATAAATAATACTGAAATTACTGAAATAATAAGAATTTTTAATTAGGAACTTTTGCTAAAATAATAATTTTTTTCTAAAAATCGGACAATTATTTTCGTCTTACTTGATCGTATAATCAACTAATCATTTCCAGGAATTGTTTCATTTTCCCACATGATTACAATCATTTTAAGTAACTCATTGTTGATACTTTTTTTATATGTCTTAGTGTTAAATACATGAAAATTATCTTGATTTCTTTCTTTTTTTATTTCAAAAAAAAATCTAAAAATAAGAATGTCTAAAAAAAAAAAAAATATTAGGTTTCAAAAAAAAAAAAGGATATTTTGATAAAAGTAAATTACTAAATTAATACAAATTCGAAACTTTAATTTAATGAAATCAGGTTTGTTTACCGGTTCATACATACATGATTTATAGGATAAAATTCTTGGCATAATTCATTGGAAACAAAGGGTCAACCAATAAAATTTAGTTTTTGCTTTTTGAATCATGAAATATTCGGTTATTTTTAGACAGGTCGGTTAAATCTTCTTTATTTTATCGTAAATAGCCGACTTGCCAAGACATTGGGGGAGTTACTCTAAATAGTGAAGATCGTTAAACCAATTACGTAACTAAAATTAAATAAACAAAAACAGTAAAATCAATGAAAATCCAAATCATAACAATTTATTTTATGTAACCAAAGTCACCAAAGTCCACATAATTTAAATGGAATGATTTTGTATAGCGCGGAATTATCGAGAAAAATCCTTCTTTTAAAGATAGATCAATGTTTCATCAGTGTACAATTTGCGGAGTATTTACTTAATAAAAAGTAAATTAAAATTTGATTCTCTAACCTTTGAAGTGAATAATGTTAATTTGTCATACAATATACAAATATAAATAATAAAATTATACATATCTTTGATTATACCCTGGTTTTTTTTTTTTAGTTGTAACACTTGTAACACTTGTAACACTGACGCTAAAAGTCAATCAACTAATTATAGTAAAATCAACTAATTATATTTAAATTTATTTATAACTATTAAAAGAAAAAAAAAATGAATATAAAATAGCAGTTTTTTTGATAAAGAGAATTTTTTTCCTTCTCTATAAAATTACATTATTATAATATAATAATTGATTTTTGTTGTGATAAAAAAGAGGATGAATATTAAATTGATTTTATCTGCATTCCTCGTTGGAGGATTAATTTTATTAAATGAACAAGTCAATGTTAATGCTTTTCCTACATCCCCATTACGAGGTATCAAAAACTAACCATTCTTTACTTTAAATTATACACGTATGAATTTGTATTATATTAAGTTCTCTTAATCCTTCCTTGTCTATAGCACGCCAAGATCCAGGTGTGGGGGGAACATGGAAAGTTGTTGGAAAGTAAGTGTTTATTTATTTATTTGTAATAAAATTTCTTTACATATGAAGTTCATAATATTAACAATATTTCTTTTTTGTATTATAGATCCGGTGTCAATGCCATGCATGCCGTCTTAGTGTCTCCAAGAAAAGTTGTATTCATAGACAAACGTAAGCTTTCAAATTTGTTTACATTTTATTTTGTTTTTACAATTATTTAGTCTTTTCCTTTTTTGCTCTTTTTATTTAAATAGTTGAAGAAAATGCGTTGAAGAGACCGGATGGTGCTGCTGCAATATCATCAGAATATGATTTAGATACAAATGAGGTTAAACCGCTCGGAATTTACACAAATACGTTTTGTTCGGCAGGATCATGGTTAGGAAATGGAACTTTAGTTGAAGTGGGGGGTGATGTTGGTGGTGATAATTATCGTATTGGTATACAAACGCTTCGTTTATATGATACTGCCGTTGGAGATTGGGTTGAATTAGAAGGAATTGTTCCATCTAATAGATGGTATCCAGCCATGTTGACCTTACCTAACGGTAATGTAATGGTCTTAGGAGGTTCAACCGCAGGCACAGGTAAAAGTAAACCGGAAATAAATAATCCAACTTACATGATCTATCCACCTCCAAGTGGAACATTGGTAGACGTGCCATTAGACTTTTTAACTACCACATTACCATATAATCTTTATCCAATGGTACATATAATTCCAAATGCTGACGGAAAAACGCTTCTTTTCATGTTTGCTAATCAAATGGGAATAAGTTATGATCTTGATGCTGGTAAAACTGTTACAAACTATCCAAATATTCCTGGTGGTGTCATTCGCTCATATCCATTAACTGCCAGTTCTGTAATGTTACCACTTTCACCTACGGATAATTATAATCCAACGATCATGATTTGTGGTGGTAGTAAAACTTTTGAAATTACAGCACCAGCTGAAGCTTCTTGTGGAAGGTTAGAATTATCTACTGCGAATGCTGCATGGGAAATGGATAATTTCGGTGGTCAAGGACGTATTATGCCTGATTCTACCATTTTAGTAGATGGATCCATATTATTCGTCAATGGTGCTGCGACTGGCATGGCTGGTTTTCGCAAAGGTGCAGGCATAACCGCTATATTTGTTAACGAAGATCCCGTCCTTACCCCATTTCGTTATGATCCATTTGCTAAAACGTATACTACTCTTGCTCCATCCACTATACCAAGAATGTATCATTCTATTTCTACTTTGGTACCTGATGGTACTGTGCTTATCGCTGGAAGTAATCCACAACCTAAAGTCGATCTTAATGAAAAATATCCAACTGAGTGAGTTTACCTTTTTTTTTTTATTTTAAAAATCATTTAAATAAAAAATTCTAACCTTTCTTTCTTTCTTTTAGATACCGCGTTGAAATTTTCTCTCCCCCTTATCTTTTTACACAAAGTTCTCGGCCAGTTATTATTTCTCTTCAATCTACTCAAATTGATAATAACAGAATTAATGTAAATTATGGACAAGAAGTTACTATGGTAGTACAAATTAAACCTGATGGTACCACTCCAAGTTTAAAAGCTTCAATTATACATCATGGTTTCATCACACATTCACAAAATTTCAGTCAGCGATATGTTTATCTTGAAATTACAGAAATGGCGGCTGATCAAACAACAGCTGATCAATATATTGTAAAACTTAAATTACCTCCAAATCCTACAATAATTGCTCCTGGTCCTTCTTACATATACGTTTTCAATAATGATTCTCCTCCTCAAACTGGTGTTCCAGTTTTACTTTCTCAAGCAGCAGCAGCTTAAAATAAAAAATTAAAAGGATATTTGAAGGAAAAAAGGAATTTTGATCGCATAAAAAAGAAGACATTTTTCATATAGATACAAATGCCCATGTTACATGAATTAAATAGCATATAATAGTTATAATGAAATATTATTTTTAGACATAATTTAATAAAATATATTAGAGATGTATCAATAATATAAATAAACAACGTTTAATAATACTGTATCACGTTAATTTATATTGCAGACCTGTAATCCGTTTTATATATTCCGTCTTTTTTCCGTAAAAGACTCATGTTTCCGGAATTAATAAAAGGCTCATTTTTATAGATAAAATTTTTTATAGGGGCACCTCGCATCATGTATCAAGTGTGTCGTGTCATGTGCCAACTAATCTACGTCAAGAAATTTTTAGGTAGATCGGCCGTATGCGTAGAATGTTGAAAATACCATGTGTTTCGCCTGTTTCGCCACATGGTATTTGGAAAATAATGGAACTATCCAGATTTCCACAATATTTGATGGGATTTCCATGTGGATTTTACGTGAAAAAAATTTTCTGATGCACAAGTATTAAAATGTACAGTATACTTTATAACCGAGATAACTGAAATCTAACATTAAAAAAGCAATGGATGTTAAGATTAACATAAGGCTCTAATTTATTAAAACTTTCTCCTAATACTAATAGTGTAGCAACCAGCTGATTAAAAATATTTACAAGTAAAATGATAAATCTGAAATATTTTAACCATATAAAACTAACGTATAAGCGCTACTGAACTTTATCATCACGCATAGCCAATCGGAATTTTTTTATAAAAGCCCTAACAAGTAACGTGAAAAGGTAAATTAACCAGTTAAAAAACTTTTTTAATTTTATAAGGAGATTTATCAGTTATGCTTGAAAAAAGTGCGTGAGCTCTAGGGATGGAAAAAGTTCGGGTTGAGCGACTTGAGTCGGTTCGTTCCATTTGGTTTGGTACATCTGTTTTGATAAATTTTGATATGTACTGACTCGGAACTGGACCAAAGTGACAAAAACCGATTACGGAACCGAACCGGTTTTTCGATTTTTCAATAGTATCGGTTCGGAACCGAACCGAACCGAGCGAGTCGTCCTCATCCCTACAAATCACGTAAAAATCGTAAAAATCATATCGAGTTTTATTTATCTGTTTAAAATAAATAATTACTTATGTAGAATAGCTTAAATTTTTTTGCGGTCTGTCGTACGACCGAAAAATTTCGTATCTAAAACGGAATATTATATTGCATTATTTTATTTAAATTATTATTTTTTTTTTTGTTGAAACTTAAAAAAAAAATTTTCATATTTCATAATTAAATTTATTCTCAGAATTTTTATTTTATTTTATTTTATTTTGGTCGGAATTTTATTTAAAATTAAAATATACAGTATTATAAATTTTAAATGGCGTAATTTGATCGTTTCTTTATATGAATAAAAACTTTTTGAAAATCAAAAAGATCATTTTTAAATAGTGATTATTTATAAATAGTAGTGCAATTGTACGAGTACTGCAAATAAACAATTTTTAATATAAACATAAATACTAAGTAAAATCATTGATAATCTAAAAAAAAATAGAACCCTATCATTAATTAATATTAAAAAGGAAAGGAATATAATATAAGAGGGCAATTAGTATTAAAAAGGATAAAGATAATCAAAGAAAATTAAAATCTTAAAAGGATAATCAACTATTATTGTTATATGAACGATGATAATATTTTTTGATGTGAAGTTTTTATTAATTATGAATTTAAAAAAAATTTTCGTTTTTTATCCATAAAAGATTTAGGAAGTAAAATTCATTGTTAAATAAAATAAACCTCCCATTTAATTAAAAATGTTTGGTAAGTTCGAAGGTTGTCATATGATCGCCCAAAATTATCTAGTTAAGCCCATTTATTGACGAATTAGCAAAAAGTATTTCACGTGGAATCTAAAAATAAAAAAAAAAATTAGCAAAAAATATTAATCTATAAAAAGGGCGAAACTATTTAGTGCCGTTTTACGATCTAATACCTGAAGGTAAAGAACTTTAAACTCTAAAAAGATAAACCTTAAACCAGGTCGAACAATCTGAAAACAGAATTAAAGAAATCTCTGTGTGAAACCAGCAATTGCTCAATGAATTAATGATAAAGAAGCAATAATTAATAGTCGTAATAAAGAAAAATAACTAAATAACCGATATCACCGATACAGGCATAAATTTTACCGAAAAAGAAAATTAGAAATCTTCTTGTTAAAATATTTTACGACATTGCTGAATATTCTTTCGGTCAAGTTGGAGGAAACAAACTATTACGGAATTAAGTTAGCCGTGGCGATTGTCATCAAAGCCTAATGTATGTTAGCCGTGGCGATTGTGATCAAAGCCTAATTTTTATTTATGTATGTTAACAAAATTGCCTCAATATTCTTACTATTAAATAATAGTAAAGTGGCTGGTTTATTTCTTCATCAGAGAACTTTTATAGCACCAAAAGTCGTAAAGAGAACGCTTCATAAATCTACTTTGCGATCAAATCCCATCTGACATAATATACTTTTACGCTCATGGTATTCTATCTGTGCAGAAACATTGTTTACTTCATCGGCGCCATTGTGAAAATGAATCCATTGGATAAACTATGAGTATCATCTTTATTACCGGATACGCATTCTTACGCAGGTAAAGAAATAGGAAGGTTATTTTACTTGGTATGACGGTAATAGTAAAATATCCCGATATTATGAGCAGTGCTATATGGTATAATAATATAAATTCTGTATAGCATTCATCTGGATATTTAAAGTTAATTTCAATTAATCTAGTTATACTTTTAATCATTAAACTTACCGTAGAAATCTAAAGAAATTTTAATTTGCTACGAAAAATGGGGTATGGTTGGTATCACTTATTTATTATTGAGAAAAAATTAGAACATATGAAATATTTTTATTGAAGCTACTGAAGATAATGAGCTTTAAAAAATTTATGAGAGGAAACGACGTAAGAATTAATTAGAATTTCTTGAAAATTTGAACTCATATATACTGTGAAATTCGATATAATGGAAACATCCGTTCAATTAGTAAAATTTGTCGAAAATCCGTTATTATCAAGAATTTCGTTATATCGAGGGTAAATTAATTATACGTTATGATAATCCGTTCCAGACCCCAATTCCGATATATCAAGATTTTACTAATGTATATCGAATTTCACTGTGTATTTAAGAAATCAATCATTAGATTTGAAAAATTATTGTCACAAAGTGAACATTACATTATTTAACCAGCGCGCTAACGATAATTTCTAATAATATAATAGGAACTTTAGGAAAATCGATTATGCTGAATTTTGTATCAAACCCAGACGGGAACAAAAGCAGCAAATTTTACAATTGATTTTAGGATTTTTCAGTCACAGGTTCATTGCATAACACTAGAAGATCGTTCAGTAAATCCGAACCAAAAATAATAGAACTGGATCGAATTATCCATTTCTTTATTCGCGTCAAACACTATAAATTTTGGTTCAAATTATTGAATGGTCTTGTGAATTGTGATGTACTGTACTATATATGAAACCTATCTGTGATTTGTGGCGTGGTGCGTGAATCTTGAAATCAGCTGTAAAGGAATTAGAAAAATAACTTTATGGCTTCTTATGCTTTTTCACCCAAAAGCACGCCCACCCTTCCAATACATAAATTGGGCATTATTGCGTACGAATTTCCGTGATAACTCAAAGACCCTTTCTTACTAATAAGAGATTGTTTAAATAAAATATATCCCAAAGGGCGTCTCCAAAATCAAAATAATTGCTGCCAAAGGAGGAGTTGTCAAAGGAGGAATAATTTAAATGTCATAAAGATATTTAATATATACTGTCAATCCTGGAGAAAATATCTAAGAAATATAGAATAATGGCTGTTACAAAAATTCTTGCGTCGTTGCAAAAAAAAGTTCTATCTTATCGATCACATGCTCTTTATTGATTGGTGGAAATGATCATTAGTTCATTATGTACAATCCCTATGACCTCAGACATCTCAGACTGGCAAATATACAAAAAATAGAAATTGGTGAACCCCATGTAAAGATAAGGGTTCATAATACTTATTTACGAGAAAAAATGTTTATTGTGAGAATTATGGATTTTCATTCGCTTAAAACCAAATATAGAAATAAGTGAAAAAAAAAAATATTGATAAAATAAGGAAAAGATTACTTAGTTTCCAAAATGGGAATAATAAGGGAATTGTAAAAAGATAATATGTACCTCGATACACATTTAATATATTATTAATAATTGTGACAAATAATTAATAGATAAGAGGATTAATTGTACTATGAATATATAATCACACCTGAATATCAAATGGTTTTCATCTGATAATATAGTACAAGAAAACCATTTAAAAGATAGCGGTAATCATGCTCACATAATCACATAATAATGCATGATTCGCTAAATAATCTATTATTAATTAATATTTGTGATACAATACAAATAAGCAAAAAAGGCTGCCACGCAGTAAATGATTGATGGATCTGTTAAACGATCAAATCATCACATTAAAATTTTCAAAATTGTCTAAGAAAAATGTTCTTCTTTCTTATTTTAAATCATTCATTAGACCAATTTATTATCATTATTTGAAATTGTGGGAATCTGATTGTTAGTTCTTATTGTATGCTTTTAATATTTCCTTACTTGCAAATAGTTCATCACGTTAATCCTCTTTCTAGAATAAGTAATTCTTCTGGAATCGTTGTTTTAGAAATTGAACAAATTGAATAGAACATTGTTTTGAATATAATACCCTGACAACTTTCACCCTGACAAGTGACAAGTGACAAGTAACAACTTTCCTCGTTGTTCCTTAGATCTACATTCTTTACATAGTAAGGATCTTTTAATACTTATTTTGTTTATCTCAACAAGGAATTCCTGGTTTAACAAATTAAACAAATTAACAGTCGCTTTATTGTCTCTAGCTTCGATCGTCTCCCTTTTAAAAATAAGTTTTTAAAGAATTTCAATTAGTAACCTATCAAATAACAAAAAAATCGATACTTGCAAATAATCAAAATAATACGTGTTCAAGGAGTGTTGCTTATCAAGAGTATTTGACAAACTTCATCATGATTGTCCGAACTTTGATGTAATTACAAAATCTGTTAATTTTATATTAGAATTGAATAAATAAAAGATATTGTGAGATCATTTATGATAATTATACGATAAGGAAGGGACGAAAAAATTTCGGGATAAAAACATTTTTCCATCATCTTGGCCTGCATTATGAACTTATAAATTCATTAGCATATGATTGTGCATGATTCACACGCCGATCCAACTAGTGTTTTTCAGCCGTCTCCCTTTTAAGTCAATTAAAATGAAAATTCTTTTTTTTTTTTAAACTGAGATGAACTTTTTTCTTACAAAAAGAGAAAATGATAAATTAAAATATAGTTTACGAAAAAAAAGAAAGAATAAATTATTAAAAATGGTGNTTCTTAAAAAAAAAAGAAAGAAATTATTAATTGAAAGAAAAAAAAGAAAAAGAAAAAAAAAAAATTTCTTACTTTAATCATGGTAAAAGATCTTCCAAGGGAATTGTGGCTCGAAATTTTTAAACATTTTATTGTTAGTTTTGGGTAAATAAAATAATTATTATTATTATAAAATATATATATATATATATATCTATATTTAATGTAAAAAATTTAATTTATTATAGTGTTATGGAACTTTATAAATATCGTAAAGTTTGTAAAGTTTGGTTTGAACTTATTATCGTTATTTTGATTGATAAATTAACGAGTATGATAACTAAAATTAAGGTAAATTAAAAAAAATATTTCAACCACATCTTTTTTTTTTATAAATATTAAAAATTTAATTTTTCAAATTTTTATATTTAATAGTATTATTATCAAATTATAAGAGGATCAATTAAAGAAGAAATTAAAAGCAATAGTTCACCACCTCCATCACCATCTCCATCATCTCATTCATCCACTCAACAAACAATGAATAATTTTATCACATATAATTATAATACAGAATCATTTGAATGTAATTTTATTACGACATTAAATAATGATAAAAGTGAAGAAGGTAAAAAGAAAGAAAATATTAAAAAAAAATATAGTGAATTTTGCATAATATTTCATTTAATTTATGAAATTTTAAATGTTGATTCAATTAAAAGAATAAGAGAATATTTAATACATAATTATTGGTTAAATATTGAAGAAGATATTATTGATGATGATTCCAAATATTTTCAAAAAATTATTGTTAGAGGTGATAAATTATTACCATATATTGATTATATTGATCAAATTAATGATTTAATCTGTTATTTTAATAATTTAACTACTGCTCAATAAAAAAAAAATACATATATATATATATATATTATATATATATTATATATATATATATTCCTTGAAAAAGTTCTATAATTATTATATAGTTACTTTAATCTACATAAATAATAAATTTTGATTTACAAATCATCAAAATATGGATCACCATAAATAACATAACTAGGGGATTTTCTGAGCTCGACAAAAGTATTATCATCAAATATGTGATAAACTTTTTCCCAAAATATCTTTGCTTTAATCTTCAATGATTCCAATTGTACTTCATTTTCATCTCTTAAAACATCATTATTACTTAATATAAAAGAAAACTCACCTTGATTATTATTCGTATCATTTAGTATACTTGGTTTAAATAATGTGAAAGTATGAAAAAATGGATGATTATATTTAAAATTCACTTTAATATCTTGTTCCGGTTTAATTATTATCGTTTGTCGTGGGAAATTAAAATTAAATCTTTGATTTATTCGATCAAATGAATGTAATTCTGCTGCTGCATGCATACGTGGATTGGATATTCCAATCTATGGGGGAAGGAAGGGAGGGGAAAGGAAGGGGGGGGGAGGGAAAATATATACGACGGAGATGATTATGAATAAAGTTTTCCAATTATATATCACAATGAAAAAAAAAAAAAATTATTTCAAATTTACCACAATTTCCCAAGACTTGTGATTTTGCTTAGATAATTCATCGAAAACGCATTTAAGAATAATATCATTCCATTTTTTACACGTACGACGAAGTATAATGAGTTGTTTAAAATTATTTGATCTATTGTTACAAAAAAAAAGAGTAGATTAGTCATATAAATTTTATAATATAAAAAGATTAAAAAAAAAAAAAAAAAAAATAATAATATTAAAATAATAAAAATAAAACCAAAAAAACAAAAAGCTTACTTTGAGTTAAAAAGGAATCTAGTAAAAATATCAATTAATATTTCAGCCGGTAATTTTTCAGCCATAATTAATAATATTAATAATAATAATAATAAAAAACAAATAAATTGAATATCTAAAATTGAAAGGATTTATTGGGAAAAAAAAAAAAAGAATGAGATATATAAAAAATTCAATTCATAACGGAATATCACTTAATTAATGCACCAAAAATCATACGATTTTATTAACGTGTCAAATACCTCAAAATACTTTTGTTATGTTCCATTCAGACTGTCCTTATTTACTACTCGTATTACAAATAGTAAAGTAATGAGGAAGGTGTGACGACCGCTTTGGACTGGGGGGGACCGAATCACGTGAATTTTTTGTATTGGACCACGGCTTTACCGTTCAAAAATTTTTTCAGGACTATATTTAAAAACGACTAAAATTTCTCCTGATAATTATTTATGTGCATATATATATTAATTTTTAAAAAAAATATTATTTTAATATTTACTTTTATGATTTTTTTCGATCTCGATTTACTTCTTTAATCGATTGTTTTTTGGACTTGAACTTAAAAAACTTTTAAAATCGAGTTTATACCCGATTTAAAAAATGTCAAAATTGTGTCACGATGATCTGTGAGAAGGAAAATAATCAAAATTAAGTATTATCAAATAATATTTTTCATTGTTGTTGATATTCGTTAATAATGGATTTTCCATTGAGAGAAAACTCGAGTTTTGAATAATTACGTGAAATTTTTGGATTGACGATCCTGACGATTTAACGCGGATACCAGGGTTAGTCCTGACCCGGGTCATAACCCGAGTTGTAATCAAACCGGTTATCATTACATAATCCAATTTTTTTTTTTTTTAGGAAAATCTTGATAAGCATTTTAACGGTTGACATCATAAATATCAATAAACGGTTAATACATACGGGTTGAAACTGGCCGGAAGTTAACTGCATTTAATCGAGGTTCTTCGGATAATCAGAAAAATTCGATATATTTCATGAAAAATTCGATTTTTTTAATGAAAAATTTCTTCCACAATTTGAAATTTCAAATATTATATTAATAATTTTTTCATGCTAAATTTTAGAACTTTCAAGAAATTATGAAGTATAAAAAACGTTAATAATTTCATCACGTTCCACAGAAATGAAGTAAATGTTTATTTTTTTTTTCATATCGTAAAACGTTATAATATCTGTTGATTTTTAGCATAAAAATTTTTCAACTATAAATAAAAAAAATAAGGTTTAAAAAAAAAAAAATTCTATAAAAAAAGATTTTTTCATTGAAATATTCACGATTGTAATCAAAGATTAGATTATCCTATTTATGATTAATGAAAAAATAATTTTAAACAAAATAAGAAAAAATTCATTTCCAGATTTACAGTGACATCATGATTTTTTTAAAAGTTTTTTTGCATATTTTTGAGTCAAAAAATTTCACAAGTATGTCAGATATGTCATTGATTTTCCTTTTAAGTGTATTTCATTAATTAATGACGCAGTATTTTTGAAAGTATATTTTTTTTTATGACGTAATTTTCTTTTATAAAAAGTTTTTTTTTTTTCTTTTCTTCTAAAATCTAAAAATCATCAATTTTTTATTTGAGAAGGAAAATTAATTTTCAATTTACTTGATAATAATAAATTAATTTCGCGTAAATAAAGACCAATTATGAGAAAGTATTGCTATATATGGATGAGATAATAATACGTATTGGGGAAATATGTTACACCAAATTATTATCCAGTATAATGCCGATTTGTACCATTTCGGTATGGCTTATTAGTTAACACAAAGTGTTTTATTTGGATGGCGCAGTAAACTTCGCGTTTGTGCAACAATTCACGTGATATGCAGTGTTCTAGCAAATTCGTTGTTTCTTTTTTCAAACACATTTTTTGAAACCTTTTTTAAATTAATTTTAAAACAAATTTGTCATCATCATCCTGATCAACATATTTGACATGATGACAATAATGATAATAATCTTTTAATCGATAAAATCGATAACAGTTTTTTTTTTTTTTTTTGGTTGGGGACTTGGGGTAAAAAATTTAGTATAAGAGTAAATCAATATTGTCATAAAACTTCTTAACAATGTTAAATGATGAGTAGTCATTCCGGTTAGATAAATTTTACGTAATGATTCAAAAGGCTTGGTGTCACGTGAAAAAGGTACGTTAGTGCTGTTTTTGACTGGTAATATTTTGATATAAAATTAAACTGCCAAATTTTGGGGCTTTGGGGCTAATCTCAATTTGAAAATTAAATATATTTTGTACAAATTTTAACACATGCATTTTGTTATATTCGGAAAAATAGTTAAGATCTTAAAAAAAAATTAATTTCTTTTGTTTCAATCTTAATTAAATTTTTTTTTTTTTTTTTTTTTTTTTTTTTTTTCATATATAATTCAGGAGGAAATAATTTACAAAATGCTCCTAGAGGTCCCGTAAGAGATTTTGTAGAAAAACATAATGGTCATACNTTTTTTTTTTTTTTAGGAAAATCTTGATAAGCATTTTAACGGTTGACATCATAAATATCAATAAACGGTTAATACATACGGGTTGAAACTGGCCGGAAGTTAACTGCATTTAATCGAGGTTCTTCGGATAATCAGAAAAATTCGATATATTTCATGAAAAATTCGATTTTTTTAATGAAAAATTTCTTCCACAATTTGAAATTTCAAATATTATATTAATAATTTTTTCATGCTAAATTTTAGAACTTTCAAGAAATTATGAAGTATAAAAAACGTTAATAATTTCATCACGTTCCACAGAAATGAAGTAAATGTTTATTTTTTTTTTCATATCGTAAAACGTTATAATATCTGTTGATTTTTAGCATAAAAATTTTTCAACTATAAATAAAAAAAATAAGGTTTAAAAAAAAAAAAATTCTATAAAAAAAGATTTTTTCATTGAAATATTCACGATTGTAATCAAAGATTAGATTATCCTATTTATGATTAATGAAAAAATAATTTTAAACAAAATAAGAAAAAATTCATTTCCAGATTTACAGTGACATCATGATTTTTTTAAAAGTTTTTTTGCATATTTTTGAGTCAAAAAATTTCACAAGTATGTCAGATATGTCATTGATTTTCCTTTTAAGTGTATTTCATTAATTAATGACGCAGTATTTTTGAAAGTATATTTTTTTTTATGACGTAATTTTCTTTTATAAAAAGTTTTTTTTTTTTCTTTTCTTCTAAAATCTAAAAATCATCAATTTTTTATTTGAGAAGGAAAATTAATTTTCAATTTACTTGATAATAATAAATTAATTTCGCGTAAATAAAGACCAATTATGAGAAAGTATTGCTATATATGGATGAGATAATAATACGTATTGGGGAAATATGTTACACCAAATTATTATCCAGTATAATGCCGATTTGTACCATTTCGGTATGGCTTATTAGTTAACACAAAGTGTTTTATTTGGATGGCGCAGTAAACTTCGCGTTTGTGCAACAATTCACGTGATATGCAGTGTTCTAGCAAATTCGTTGTTTCTTTTTTCAAACACATTTTTTGAAACCTTTTTTAAATTAATTTTAAAACAAATTTGTCATCATCATCCTGATCAACATATTTGACATGATGACAATAATGATAATAATCTTTTAATCGATAAAATCGATAACAGTTTTTTTTTTTTTTTTTGGTTGGGGACTTGGGGTAAAAAATTTAGTATAAGAGTAAATCAATATTGTCATAAAACTTCTTAACAATGTTAAATGATGAGTAGTCATTCCGGTTAGATAAATTTTACGTAATGATTCAAAAGGCTTGGTGTCACGTGAAAAAGGTACGTTAGTGCTGTTTTTGACTGGTAATATTTTGATATAAAATTAAACTGCCAAATTTTGGGGCTTTGGGGCTAATCTCAATTTGAAAATTAAATATATTTTGTACAAATTTTAACACATGCATTTTGTTATATTCGGAAAAATAGTTAAGATCTTAAAAAAAAATTTATATATATACATAAAAAAATAATTATATATATATATTCTTAAATATTCTTTTTTTTTTTCATATATAATTCAGGAGGAAATAATTTACAAAATGCTCCTAGAGGTCCCGTAAGAGATTTTGTAGAAAAACATAATGGTCATACTGTAATTACAAAAATTTTAATAGCAAATAATGGTATAGCAGCTGTTAAAGAAATTAGATCCATTAGGAAATGGGCTTATGAAATATTTGGTGATGAAAGGGCTATACAATTTACCGTAATGGCTACTCCTGAAGATTTAAAAATCAATGCCGAATATATTCGAATGGCTGATCAATATATTGAAGTACCTGGTGGTTCTAATAATAATAATTATGCTAATGTTTCTTTAATTGTTGATATTGCTGAACGTACTGGCGCTCATGCTGTTTGGGCTGGTTGGTTAGTTATTATTAAAAATTATTATTAATATTAATTATTTTTATTATTATTATTTTTATTTTATTTATTAATTAATCAATAAATCATTTTAATATAGGGGTCATGCATCTGAGAATCCTAGATTACCTGAATCTTTGGCTCAAAGTAAAAATAAGATAGTTTTTATTGGTCCTCCTGGTTCTGCGATGAGATCTTTAGGTGATAAAATATCTTCTACGATTGTGGCTCAATCTGCAAATGTTCCTACAATGGATTGGAGTGGTAGTGGTGTTGTTCAAACTGAAATTGATGATCAAGGTCATGTTATAGTTCCTGAAAGTGCTTATGAACAAGCTTGTGTTAAAGATGCTGATGATGGTTTAGATAAAGCAAAAAAAATCGGGTTTCCTGTTATGATTAAAGCTTCTGAAGGTGGTGGTGGTAAAGGAATAAGAAAGGTTGAAAATTCTGAAAATTTTAAACAAGCTTTTGTTCAAGTTCAAGGTGAAGTTCCTGGTTCTCCAATTTTTATCATGAAACTTGCTGGGAATGCTCGTCATCTTGAAGTTCAAGTTTTAGCTGATCAATATGGAAATGCTATCTCTTTATTTGGAAGGGATTGTTCTGTTCAAAGGAGACATCAAAAAATTATTGAAGAAGCTCCTGTTACTATTGCTAAACGTGAAACTTTTGAAGCTATGGAAAAAGCTGCTGTAAGATTAGCGAAACTTGTAGGTTACGTTAGTGCTGGTACTATAGAATATCTTTATAGTCATGAAAGAGATTTTTTTTGTTTTCTTGAATTAAATCCAAGATTACAAGTTGAACATCCTACTACAGAAATGGTTTCAGGTGTAGATTTACCTGCTGCTCAATTACAAATTTCTATGGGAATTCCACTTCATCAAATTCGTGATATAAGAGTTCTTTATGGTTTAGCTCCTAGTGGTACTTATGAAATAGATTTTGATTTTTCAAATCCTGAATCTCTTCAAACTCAGAGAAGACCTGCTCCAAAAGGTCATGTGATAGCTGTTCGTATAACCGCTGAAAATCCTGATGCTGGTTTTAAACCAAGTAGTGGTATGGTACATGAACTTAACTTTCGTAGTAGTACTAATGTTTGGGGTTATTTTTCTGTTAATTCTGCTGGTGGTCTTCATGAATTTGCTGATTCTCAATTTGGTCATATTTTCGCTTATGGTGAAAATCGTCAACAATCTCGAAAAAATATGGTGGTTGCTTTAAAAGAATTATCAATTCGTGGAGATTTTAGAACTACTGTTGAATATTTAATTAAATTACTTGAAACTCAAGCATTTGAAGAAAATAGTTTTACAACTGGTTGGTTAGATATGTTAATATCTGATGAAAATTTAACAGCTGAAAAACCTGATAAAATGTTGGCAGTCATATGTGGTGCTGTTACAAAATCTTATACTGAAACTATGGAATCCGTTTCTGAATATAAACGTTTCTTGGAAAAAGGTCAAATTCCTAACAAAGATATATTACGTACTGTTTTTACTACTGATTTTATATATGAAGGAGTTCGATATAAATTTACTGCTACCAGATCTGCTCCTCATTCTTTTACACTTTATTTAAATGGATCAAGAGTACAAGTTTGTGTTAGAGCTCTTACTGATGGTGGATTATTAGTTTTATTGGATGGAAAGAGTCATACTTGTTATTTTCGTGAAGAAGTTCAAGGAATTAGATTGATGATTGGTGGTAAAACTTGTTTACTCGAACATGAAAATGATCCAACACAATTACGTTCACCTTCGCCAGGAAAACTTGTTAGATTTTTGGTAGAGTCCGGTGATCATGTAAATAGAGGTGATGCTTTCGCTGAAATTGAGGTATGATTTTTATAAAAGTATAAAATTGAATTTATTTTTAAGTATAAAATTGATAATTTAAATTTCATATTTTATTTCATATTAGGTGATGAAAATGTATATGCCACTTGTTGCAACAGAAGATGGTATAGTTCAATTCATAAAACAACAAAATTCAACACTTGAAGCTGGTGATATCATTGGTATTCTCACTCTTGATGATCCTAGTCGAGTTCGTCACGCGTTACCTTTTGAAGGACAAATCCCTGCAATGAATCCTCCTGTTATAATTGGTGATAAGGCTCATCAGAGATATCGTGAAGTCTTTCATATTCTTGAGTGTATACTGGATGGTTATGATAATCAAGCTATGTTACAGTGTAGTGTTAAAGAATTAATAGAACTTTTAAGAAATCCTGAACTCCCTTATTTAGAATATCATGAAGTATTGTCAACACTTTCTGGTAGAATTCCATCCAAGCTTGAAGCGTCTTTACAAAAAATTTCTAGTGAAACATATAATCAAGGATTAGAATTTCCTGCCAAAACATTAAAAGAAATGATAATTAATTATTCTCGTGATTCTGTCAATCCTTCGGATCTCATAAGTTTTGAATCTACAATCGCTCCTTTGAATGAAATTCTTGATCGATATGTTTCTGGTATAAAATATCGGAAATGGAATGATATCATTTATTTATTGAACAAATATCATGAAGTTGAAGTTTTATTCTCGAACTCTGATAAACGCGATAAACGCGAGGAAGAAGTTGTTCATTCTTTACGTGATAAATACAAGGATGATTTGGATAAGGTCATAACTACAATTTTATCGCATTCCAAAATAGGATTAAAGAATAATTTAATATTGCATCTTTTAGATCATATTAAACCTGAAAATGTTGGGCAAGCTCTTGATAAATTCTTTTCACCTATTTTGAAAAAATTGGCCGAACTTAGAGGTCGTTTCACAACAAAAGTTTCATTAAAAGCACGTGAATTACTAATTCATTGTCATTTACCTTCTTATGAAGAAAGATACACTCAGATGGAACAAATATTGAAAGCTGCAGTTATTGAAAGTCATTATGGAGATGATGGTTATGATTATCGAACTCCAAGTTATGATTCACTTAAAGAATTAATTGATACAAGATTTTCAGTTTTTGACGTACTTCCAAATTTTTTTTATCATCAAGACAATTGGATTGGACTTGCTGCGTTAGAAGTTTACGCTAGGCGTGCTTATCGTGCCTATCAATTAATGGATGTTGAATATCATACAGATAGCGTTCCATTTATGGTTTCTTGGAACTTTTTACTTCATAGTGCTCAAGCTAATAGTTCAAAATCAGAACCTTTTACTATGAGACGATCTGGTTCAATATCGGATTTAAGTTATATGATTCCAAAAACTGAGAATGAACCTTTACGTATTGGTGCTATGATTGCTTGTACTTCGAATGAAGTAATAGAAAAAAATTTACCACGTATATTAGCATTATTCCCAAAAATACAAAATGATAGATGGAAACCTCAAGGTTCATCAGATAGGAGCAAAATTAATAATATTCTAAACCTTGCTTTAAGATTAGGAGATGATGCTTTAGAGGATGAAACTTTAAAACAACAACTTAAACCTCTTATACAACGACATTCTTATGAATTACGTGAACATGGAATAAGACGTGTTACTATTGTACTATTTCGTAAAGGTCAATATCCAGGATATTTCACATTCCGAGAGTCTACAGGTTATGTTGAAGATCAAACGATTCGTAATATTGAACCTGCTATGGCCTATCAACTTGAACTTACGAGATTATCTAATTTCGATATTAAACCTTGTTTTACTGATAATAGACAAATTCACGTTTATTATGCTGTTGGTAAAGAAAATACTTCAGATTGTAGATTCTTTATTCGAGCTTTAGTTCGTCCTGGTCGATTACGAAATAGTGTACGTACTGCAGATTATTTAATATCAGAATCAGATAGATTGTTAAATGAAATTTTAGATTCTCTTGAAATTGTTAGTTCGGAACATAAGAATTCGGATTGTAATCATTTATTTATAAATTTCATTCCAATATTTGTATTGGAACCGAGACAAATTGAAGAAGCTGTTAAAGGATTTATAGACAGGCATGGAAAAAGATTATGGAGATTACGTGTTACCGGAGCTGAAGTTCGTTTTAAGGTCGAAGATCCTACTTTAGGAACGCATTATTCTTTACGTATCATCATTAATAACGTTTCTGGATATGTTGTTAAAGTTGAAACTTATCAAGAGGTGAAGACAGAACGTGATAGTTGGATACTTAAATCAATCGGAAAACACGGTTCAATGCATTTACAACCAACTCATACACCTTATCCAACGAAAGAATGGCTTCAACCAAGGCGTTATAAGGCTCATCTAATGGGTACCACTTATGTTTATGATTTTCCTGAACTATTTCGTCAAGCTATTAGAACACAATGGAATCGCGCATCACATTATAATCCAACTCTAAAATGTCCAAGTGATGTTTTGGAAGCTAAAGAACTTGTTCTCGATGAAAAAAATAAATTACAAGAAGTGGAAAGAGCTCCAGGAACAAATTCATGTGGTATGGTCGCATGGATCTTAACGCTTTTCACTCCTCAATATCCCAAAGGTAGAAATATAATTGTTATCGCGAATGATATCACATATCAAATCGGATCTTTTGGGCCCAATGAAGATCAATTCTTTTATAAGGCAACTGAATTAGCAAGAGAATTAGGAATACCAAGAATTTATCTTTCGGCCAATTCTGGTGCAAGAATTGGATTGGCAGAAGAAGTTATGAATCATTTTCATGTTGCATGGGTAGATCGAGAAAATCCAAGTAAAGGTGTGAAATATCTTTATCTTGATTCAGAAACTTACAAACACTTGGAACAAAATGAAAGAAAATCCGTTATTGCGGAAGAAATAGTTGAAGAAGATGAAACACGATATAAAATCACCGATATTATTGGATCAGAAGATGGACTTGGAGTTGAATGTTTGAAAGGTTCAGGATTAATTGCTGGAGCTACATCACGTGCATACGAAGATATCTTTACAATAACTTTAGTCACCTGTCGTTCAGTTGGTATGTAACATTTAATAAATTCATGTTATAAATTTAATTTATGTTTATAAATTTTTATTAATAATTTTATTCTTTTTCTTTAACTTAGGTATTGGAGCATATTTAGTAAGGTTAGGACAACGTACAATTCAGAATGAAGGTCAACCTATTATTTTAACTGGAGCACAAGCACTAAATAAAGTGTTAGGGAGAGAAGTTTATACCGGAAATATACAACTTGGAGGTACACAGATTATGTTTAAGAATGGAGTTTCACATTTAACTGCACAAAATGATTTGGAAGGTATTACAAAGATTATGCAATGGCTCTCTTATGTTCCATCTGTTCGAAATTCACTTGTACCAATATTCCCAAGTTCGGATAATTGGGACAGAGATGTTAGTTATATGCCTCCTAAAGGAACTTATGATCCAAGATGGTTAATTGCAGGAAAATATGAAACTGAAAGAGAACCTAGTAGTTGGGTTGGTGGATTCTTTGATAAAGGATCATTTGTTGAAACATTAGGCGGATGGGCGAGAACGGTAGTAGTTGGAAGGGCACGTCTTGGTGGAATCCCAATGGGCGTTATAGCAGTTGAAACACGTACCGTCGAATGTATAGTTCCAGCTGATCCAGCTGATAAGGAATCACATCAACAAATGATGATGGAAGCTGGTCAAGTTTGGTATCCTAATTCAGCTTATAAGACAGCACAATCAATTAATGATTTTAATAAAGGTGAACAGTTACCCTTAATGATTCTTGCTAATTGGCGTGGATTTTCAGGTGGTCAACGAGATATGTTTCAAGAAATTTTAAAATATGGATCTTATATTGTAGATGCTCTTGCTAACTATAAACAACCAGTATTTGTATATATAGTTCCTAATGGTGAACTTCGTGGTGGAGCTTGGGTTGTAGTGGATCCTAATATTAATATTGATATGATGGAAATGTACGCAGATACAAAATCAAGAGCTGGTGTACTCGAACCTGAAGGTGTGGTAGAAATTAAATTTAGAAAACCACAATTACTTTCAACAATGGGAAGGTTGGATGAAACATATCGTAACCTTAAGAAGTCATTGGATGACCCAACAATATCTGAAATACAAAAACAAGAGATCAAAAAACATTTAGATGCGAGAGAACAAGAATTATTACCAATATATTCACAAATTGCTATACAATTTGCAGATTTACATGATACGCCAGGAAGGATGAAATCTAAACAAACTATAAGAAAAGCTTTAGAGTGGAAGGATTCTAGGAGATTCTTTTATTGGAGAGTTAAAAGAAGATTACATGAAGAATATATGTTTAGAAAATTAATTGAAGCGAATAATAAATTAAATAGAAATCAAATGACGGAACATTTAATTAATTGGTTTAAAGAAGATAATATAGTGAATGATAATAGCGAATTTGATTGGGAAGAATCTGATGAAATAATTGCGAAATGGTTAGAAAGGATATTAGAGGAAAATAATAGAGACAATCAAGAAGTAAGTGATGACGGTGATAATGGCGATGATGAGACTAAAATTAATATTAATAATTTAATTCCAAAAATCACGTTTAAAGAGAGAATTGAGAAAGTTAAAAATGAAGCTATAAAACAAAGTATTTTAGATTTAAGTAAAAATCATTTAAAAGCTGTTATTCAGGGATTTGAAAAATTATTTGAAACATTAAACACGGAAGAAAAAAATGAATTATTAAATAAGCTAGCAACAAACTGTTAAAAAAAAACAAATCATTAAAAAAGAATTAGATAAAAAGTAATTTTTATTCTTGTAAAAATAATTTGAATATTTTTGTACCTACATATATTCTTGTATTTCATTATTGTATTTTTTTTTTCTTTGCATAAATTTTCAGTATCAATAAAAATAATATATTCACTCATTATTTTAAAAGAGATTCTTAGAATATCAACATCAGGAATTGTTTTGGGTTTTCAGATTTTATAGATTTTATTGAAAATTCATTATATTGAAAATTCATTATTTTGGAATACTTCAATCTTATATGTAAATGTAACTTGCGGGTAAGTGTGAATATTTTAAAATTTTAAAAATTTTTAAAATAGTATTCTTTAAAGTGTTCTGGTGTTATGGGCGGTGTTTATTTGATATAGCGTTAAAAATAGTATTAATATTGATGTCAAATTTCTTATTTCTTTTAGGGGTACATGTTATTATTATTTCAATAATTTTTGTTTACAGTAGCCCTCTACGTCGTGTTGAAGAATGATCTAATATCAGTGTTGATAGAACATCTTATTTTGTCATCTAGTAATACGATTTGACGAGTTTGAAAATTTAGCACGTGGCGCAGCAAATATTTAACGAACATATATTAGCTAATATTTTAGGGAGCGGGGGAAGAAATTCCGTAATTTAATATGTTGTATGAATATGTAAAGTATTTGAGAGCAATTTTTACTTTACCTTTGTAACAGTTAATTTATAATTTGGTCCAAGTTCATTATACGTATCCAATTTTTGATCACATTACCCTAACCCTATTTCATTTAGCAAAAACACTGAAATCACGCTACAAAATTGAAAAATAAATGTAGTACGATAATTTCATTAAAAAAAAAATATCTATTTTTTCACAAATATTTAATCAATATTAATTAACATATGTGTGTCCAAAAACAAAAGGTCTCACGATGAATTTTGCGTAGCGAATGTAGCGAATAGGTGATCCAAAAATTAACTTGTGCGTTGGTAGTGTTAGTTACTCGAATTGACGACTGCAATTAACGCTATCTTATTGGATGAATGCAATTTTCTCTCTCTTAGTTTGGCTAGAACACCAAGTTATTCGTGCAATGTTGCGATTGAGGTAAGTATTATAACACGACATGCACGACATGATCTTATTGACCACGCGATACGATGTTGTTAAAAAACGTTTTCGGTAAGTGGGACAAGTTTCCCGTGTAAATATATTTAACAAAAAAATGCATCTAGAAATAACATCTTGCTAAATTAATGGATTTTTTTAACAGGGTTACAGTTTACTCCTCCCCCCCGTGAGATTTATTGTCACGTACTAGGGAGATCCTTCACAAGGTGCATTCACGACTCATGCGTGCTAAAACTCAGAATCAAAGTATCAATTTTGTACGTACCTCATTACGCTAGTATTACGCTCTTCAAAAAGTTAAGAAAAAAGCGAAAAATTCGTTAATAGGTGATTGTTCTATCATAGCAGATAAGTACACGCAAATTTATGCAAAAAATAATGCTTTTGAGATCGGATCAAAGAATTTAGAAGGATTCGATTTGGTTTACTCTCGAGGTAATTTTCTTTTATTTTTTTTTTTTTTTGGTAAAATGCTTTTACTCACTATGATGACGATGGTGTTGTTATTAAGCATATAATGAATGATATATTTGAATCGCACAATCATTTCTTGTCCGGTGCTCTTTAAGGTTCAGGTATAGTTAAACTAGTTAACGACGTGCTTTTTATATTTCTTTATAATGATTTGACTTTGGAATATTTTTAAAAATTTTATCTTTATTCGTTTAATATTTTAAAAAATAATAAATATTTAAATTTAATGATAAAATAATGTTATACTATATATAAAAAAAAATTTTTTTTTTTTTTCTAAAGAATAAATAAGTATATATATAATATATATATATATATATAATTTTTACAAATCATGGTTATTTTACTTATTTTGTTTGTTTTGGGAATATTCTATATACTTCAAAATCATCTAAATTTCCTCCATTAATCTTTAATTCTTTATCATAAAAGCGATGTTCATAATGAATTGTTGGAGTTTTATTACAAATTATAAGATCACAGAAATTTGGTCCCGTCTCTTTTTTATGACGTAATGCATTATAATGATCATGTACTCGACTAAGCTTGGAATTTTCTATTTTATCCTTTTCAATTTTGAATATGAAAGCTTTTTTAGATTCAATTGGATAAGTAGCTTTAACACTACGACCAGCAATCTTCCATTTTTCAGGATTGTATCCACCAATAAGTTCTCCTGTCTCTCTAATTCTTGCAATTGTTAAAGTATTTGCTAAATTATCACATTTTTCATGAAAAGCTGCACAAGAAAAATGATCAGACGTGCCTCGGTATACCAATTTAAAAACATAAGATGGGTATTCTGGTTTGAATGGTTTTTTATCAATAAAACTCGAAATAAGACTTCCATATTTTAGATTTTCGTTAATGATAAGGTTTGCATTCTTTTCTCTTGCTTTTGGTTCATTTTGTAGAACCATAGAAGGATTTTGAAGTATTGGAGTATTAGTTTGACTAGATGGACTATTACCCATCATATAAGATTCCATAAGGGTTTCATATATATCACCATCAAATAACCATTTATATGGTCTAACTTGTTGAAAGAAAAGATCTGAAGTTATCCATTTGAATCTTATTAAAGGAATTAAATCATTCACGTTAGCTTTCAATTTACTAAAATCTTCTTTAGGCCATTTTGAGGGTGAATCTTTACTAATAGTTGAATCTTGTGTAATACCCCATTTAATTATGAAATTCCAAAGATCAATTTCATTTGCAATTAAATCATCTCTAGATAGGAAACTGAGTAATACTTTCTTATCTATCGAACCAGGATCTTCTGATTTGAGTATAGTATCCGGATCTTGACAAAGTTGATCAAGGCAATATCTTTGAATTTCATGAAAAGCTTCACGTTTGGAAGAAAATTTTTCAAGAGTAATTAAATTTTCTTGAATCCATCCATGATGATTTTCAAGGAAAATTGGTTGTAAGCATTCACTAAATCCTTGAATTCCTAATTCTTCACAGGTTTCAAGAAGATCCAAAAATTCGGGTGATGACAATTCATTAGTTTTGATAATTCCAACGGCTCCACCATATATATAACTAAAAAAAAAAAAAAAAAAAAAAAAATTTAAATATAAATAAATAATTATTTAAACAAAATTTTAAAAAGTATATGTTTTCATTAAATAACTTACTCTAAAACGATTCTAAAAATTTTAGGTGAGATGTTTTCTTTTTTGAAAATAGTGATATTTTCTTCATCAACGCTATCACTATAACTCATAAATGAGGATAATGCTGAATAAAAATAAGAAACAGTTGAATTATCTTCTTCAGTCTTATTATTTTCTGATTTTTTGGATAAAGCAGCATTAAAATAAGCAGATCTAGCTTGAAGAATAGAAGAATGTGCTTGAAATTCTTCAACATCTGATTCTTTTCCAATTATTATTTTAACATCAAATTCCTTTGATTTGGTTAAAAAATTGGTTAAATCTTCTGATAATTTATAAAGAGATCTTATTATAATATCATCTCTAGTAAAATCTGCAAATTCTGAAGTAGAAGTAACTGAAGTAGCATCATCAATAACATTCAAACCAGAAATCGATCCTTTTGTTTCATGACTTTTCGATCCAGTTGATGATTTTTTTGATTCTGTCACTGATCCTGTCACTGATCCTACAACTGATGATGGTCTTGATCCTGTCACTGACCCTACAACTGATGATGGTCTTGATCCTTTCACTGACCCTACAACTGATGATGGTCTTGACGAAGGTTTTGGAGGATTTCCTTTTGAATTCAATTTTTTCTTTGCAGCGTACATACAAAACTGAAAGAGTGGAATATTTTGATATGAGAAGATTAATATACTATAGAATATTATATAAAATAATTAAAAACTAAGACCTCAATTTACCTCATCAAATAGGATATACCCTCCGTGATTCACATCAATCTCATCAAATGCCTTCTTAAGTTCTTGATTCGATAACCCCTCTAGCCCCATAATTTTATGTCCTTGCTTAAATTCTTGTAAACTAATACGATTATCATTATTTTTATCAAGTTTCTTAAACAACTGAAATAGCTCATCGTAGTAATAAAGAAATTCGATAAGACGATTGAATTCGGAAAGTTCGATATAACCATCCTAATAGCAATAATACAGGTTTAAATATGTATGTACAATGGATAGTTAGTGTATAGTTACGGTAATGCATTTCAGGAACGCATATTTCCGAGGGTTTGGAACGTTTATTTCAGAATTTGTAAGATATTTTTCAAATAACGAACCTTTGAAATATCAGCAGCTTTGTATGCTCGCATGATAACGGGTTTATTTTTTGAAAAGTGTGGATAAAGCTCAAGGACAGCCTTATCTATTTCAGCGAGAGACAAGATACTGTTTCCATTATAATCAAACTTATCGAAAATCTTATCGAAATGAAAGAAAGTCAAATATTTCATTAAAAATAAAAATCGGAATGGGTTTAAACAATCGTAAATATTATTATACCTTTTTAATTTGAGTTTCTTCTAATTTTTTTAGAGTTGTCATATTTGAGACAGAAAGAAATTTTGTTTTGTAAAAAAAATAAAAAAATAAAAATGACAATTAGCTGTTTAAAAGTATATATTTATATATTCTAGGACATTCCGAATTGTTTATCATGTTTTTTTTATTTAGTGTCCCAAAAACAAAACTTTATTTTAAAAACAAAATGGAAAAATGGCGTATACAAAACTTTATTACCCCATGAAGCATTTTAAGGAGAATAAAGACTAACTATTGTACCATGGAATGATAATAAAAATCAAAAAAATTTTTTGTTGTACACAAACAATATGTACAATTTTATATCAAACATTCGTATTGTTTTGTGTTTCCTAACCCGGAATTCGGAATCCCGGATGGGGATAATCTGGACCAACCCGATAACCGGATAAAGTCTAATTTCGAATAATCACATTATTTAATATTTAATATTATTATTATTAAGGCACGAAAAATATCGAGATTGGGATGAAATTACAAACAAATGTTAATACATTATAAAAGTTATAAAACATAAAATTTCCAAAAATAGGTGCTTATATAATAACTGATGATTGAACGATACAACGAGACACAGCAGAACTTATAATAATAGAAAAATGAACTATAAGATTGATTTTAAAGTTCACATTTATTTGTTTTTATAAAGATACGTTGGAAGAGGTAAATGAATTATTTACTTATTAAATGTTTAAGCTCAAAGAAAAAAAAAATGGGTCATAAAAATTAACATGGAGGATTTTATCGATGGTGATGATTTGAAGATTGGTGAGAAATGCAAAATACATATGTGCATCCACTAAACTTTAATGGTAATATTACGGATATTTCAAAGGAGTAGTACTTGGAAACAAGGTTTATTCATTTATGTTTCTCAAAATTGCTTGGCGCTTCAAAAAAAAATTAAAGAAGAATAGTTAAGAATGTCGTAGCCAAATTGGATTACTTCTTAAGTAATTTATTTAATTTTTCTAATTTAAGTTGAATCAATCAAAATTAATTGCCATATTACTAAAAACGGTGTTCGTTTGGGATCCAAATATCGACACCATAATAAGAATAATTTGAATCCAAGATGAAGCTTATCATTTGATTTACTTCGTGATGCATATGCAGTAAATCACTAATCTTTATATTCTTTGTTATTCTCTAACATTATTGCAAATAATGGTTAGGTTAAAAGTAGTGATATACGAACTATGAAACGAATTTTATATATAAAAAAATTAGATGTAATTTTGAATGAAGAATTGTGAGAACCATAAAATTACGGGTGAAACATAATTTAGCCGTGGTTTGTTTTCCTTTCATATATTTTACAATCGAAAGTATAAAATTAAATATGGTAATATTTGATATTTATTTTCATACGTATACCTACAACAATTATTGCAAACTATCGAACATTTTTGTATTACTTGCTATAAATAGTAAGATTGATAAACATATCCGTTTCATCTAGCCATAAATGGGATGTATTAGTATACTTTTCAAGTTAGGTTAATGATATATTTGGTGTTACATCAAGTCGCTCTTCTACTATTTTTTTAATTTTCACGATATAGAAAAACAATACTTAAAATACTTTTATTCATTATATGCACATAATAGTTTACTGCTGTCTGATAAACAAATGGGGTCATTACCCTATTTTTTTTTGATAATACCTGTTTAGAAAAATTTTTTTTTTTAGGTTCATTTGTCAAATCTCATCTATTTGATCTAAATAACTTTACGACCCCTTCGTAAATAAAAAGTTGTGAACCATTAAAATGGCGTTTGGCGTACATTCAAAAAAAAAAAAAATACCGGCCGTACCCCTTTCATTCTTATTCCTATTATGTTTATTGGCCGTCCGAATATGAATAATATATAATGACTAATTAGAATTTAAAACCGAGTTCAAATTTTTTTTAGTATTATTTATCCGTATATAGTAATCAATATGTATATCATATTTATGGGTGTAATTTTTTTTTTAATGAATAATAAATTAGTATTATTTTAATTAGTATTATTTTCATTTTTAATGAATAATAAATTAGTATTATTTTAATTAGTATTATTTTAATTAGTATTATTTTCATTTTTAGTGAATAACAAATTAGTATTATTTAATTAGTATTATTTTCATTTTTATAGTCTAATCCTATTTTAATATTATCGGTTACATTAAACTTGGACATTTTTGTAACGTGCATCAAGCGTCTGGTTTTTTTCGCGTTCAATGTTTTTATTTGAATTAAAGATTATAATTAAACTAATTATGAATTTAACTCTCATTTAATCTAATTTTAGTTTAATAATACTAGTATTTACTTTTGTAAATGAAACAGGAAATTCTTACTTCAATGAAACAAATTTTATTGATATTTGATTAATATAGGAATCATGAAAAAAATAAAAACTTTATCGAGTAAAATAATTGAAAATTTAATTATTAAGTATTATTAATTATATTTAATAATATGTAATAATAATGTTTATTGTTACAGTAATAAATTTGTGATACAATATAAGTATTTAATTCATTAATTATAATTTATAAGCTTCATCATAACCTTTTTTTTTTAATCCTTGTTTGAACTCGATGATCTTTAAAATTATATATATCTGCCATTCGAAATGATAGCATGTTGCATTAGCTAACCAATTATAATAAATTTGGAAGATTTCAAATTCAAACTATTCTTCCTAGAAGTCTTAAAATATCCAGAAAATATGAAAATTCTGGATATTGTTGAATCTCTTACTAAGGATGAAATTATGAAACAATGATTATTATAAAATGACAGGTACAATAAGAATTTGTAAATGTTTCGAAATTATAAATTATTCAAATTGGACATCTTGAAACGATATATTGATGATCTTAATACAAAAGTGTCAAATGAAAAGATAAGCGTACAGTCCAGTACGGTAAGTACGATAATTTACATGCAAAATATTAAATATTTGACTAATGGTAGATTGTCTGAGCAAATTGGATTTTGGACAGTAGGATTCTAAAGAATAGAGCTGCGACTCGTCATAATTTCAGGATCAGGATTCGTACTCAAATAAAGAAAAAAATGGTTACCCGATCCCTTAACGGGTATTACCCATTTATACCATTTATACTCATTTAGCATTTTACCAAATATTACCCGAGTAATATCCGAGTGTACTTGGGTAGAAGTTTTATGTATTTTTTAAAAGTTTTACTTTTAATGTACTTTATCTTGAAACAAATATAAAAATAATTCATCTTTATTTTCAAATAAGTGTTTTATAGAAGAATGATTGAAGTGAAAAAAAAAAAATAATATTTTATTGTTCAATAGCCTAATTAAAATAAATTGGTAAAATTTTGGTTTCATACATCTTCTTTTGTCAGTGGTATAATTACCTGCATTTGAAAATAATCTCTCACTTAAGTATTTGAATTTGAAGATATTTTCTTGCAAGGTAAGCAATAAATAGAATTCTGTTTGATGATCTCTTCACGGATTTGCATTTAATAACTAGAATAGGAGGACGTACGTTAAAACTTGAGATTTCAGTATCAATGTTTATTTTCTTTATATAATTTTGATTATTATAAATTACTCGGGTAATATTCGGATCGACCCTTTAAAATATAAAACGGATACAAACCCAATTTTACCCGTTTGTTATTTTATGATCCGGATTCTTGGTATACTCGGATTGTACTTGGGTAAATGAGTAACGAGTCGCAGCTCTACTAAAGAAAGGTAATTAAAAATATTTGGAATTCAAGGAAATAGAACATGTTGAAAGTGCTGATAGTAATATTCATGAGACATTTACGTGAAGGGTATTCCGTTTTATAATTTTATTTTACAGAGGAAATCACATGTATTCAGTACATGTAATAAACATGTATTGTTATAGTTTGACAAAAAGATCATCAGAAGAATATTGCAATTTGTGATGAATTATATGAATATCTTCAGCATCATCTTACATGGAAAAAAGGATTTATATATTAATAATTTGGATTTGTGATCTAGCTGATAAATCATAAAATGGCGGCGAAGGCGCATTGGTCTAAATGACTTGTATCATTAGTCACATGTCATTTAAGGTCAAATGACGAATGACATATCATGTAATCTTATTTTTCTTTTTATCCTGATTCTGGCCTACTTTAATTTCATACTAAACTAAAACTTGGCTAATATCGTAAATGACTTAAATGACAAATGACTAAATGGCCTGTGACATTCAAAGATCACCTAGACGGACTGGGGTAATTTCAAAATTTCTTCGTAATCATTTCAAAATTAACCAGACGAAATTTCCCACATAATCATACCAAATACTATAAATACCAGGTGCAAAAGTGGTTTCTTTTTCAGAAATGATTTCGGGTGATATATAAGGAAGATTTCCATTAGGGTAGGGACGAAAACGGTCACGGTTATTAACTGGTCATGACTGTGACAGATATAGGTTGGCCAAAGACTTCTGACCGAACCGTTTGACAAACCATTTAACCGAAAATTATAGTAGTTATGGTTTATTCTTAGATATAAGATTATTTAAAAAAAAAATATTATTGTTCATTTTTGATCAAATTGTTTATCCGGTCATTTCAAACGGTCAGTCAAGGTCGGTCAAAGGTTCTTAACCACCGTTGCCATCTCCAATATTGCGATAAGTTAATGCAAATTTGGATTTATAGAGCAGAATTCCTTTGAATTTACATTATTCAACATAAAAGTATCAATGTTGAATAATAGTGTATTATTAGGAAAGAACGTCAGGTATCATGTACGATAATAATTTAAAGTAGAAAATTTTATTATATGACCTAATTACCCGAACAACAGTATTTCTGTAACAAATAATATAATTTAATTAATGTTAAAAAATGAATTATTCAAATTACAAACTAAGAAGTTTGCTAGTTGCTACTCTATTCTTAGTGTTTAAATAATTCTAAATGAGAAATTAATAATAGTAATTAAAAGATTTGTATTATTTATTTCATGGGTAATCCCTGGAGCGTGTCACTCATTAAATATAACGTGATTAATTATTTTTTAAACTATTTAACTATTTATCTATTAAAGATTTTTCTGGCGAGACCGAGAAATAAGTAAACGAAGATTCACGGTCAATTATAAACTCAGCTAACTCAAAAATCAGTATGAAGGAAATCATGAGTGACACTTAGTTCGATTAAATAATTTAAAATCCATCTATATTAAAAAAAAAAATAGTCATTAAAAGAAGCCTAAACATTTAATTTTAAAAATTAATTATTTAAATTATAATTACCATCTGGAATTTCAAATTCATCTTGTTCTTCTGAATGAAGATTTGGATTATACATTGTATCTTCATCTACAAGTAAAATAATAATTAGAAATTGGTTATAAAATTTATAATTAAACAAATATTATAAATCATATACCATCAATATCATCAATATTGGTGTGCTTCTTTACTTGCAGTGTAATTTCTCTATTATAATCATATTGAATAATATCTATAAAATTAATTATTATTAATAAAAACTTCCAATTTGCATAATCCATTATAATTATAATTTTACTCACTATTATTTGAATTTATTTGCATATTTTCAAATACTTCAGATAATTTTTTATCGTCATCTAATTATTAAAAAAAAATTAACAAATTTTTCAAAGAATGGAACTTCAAATTAATAATAATTATTCACCTTTAATTATGTTGCTTGATTTTGATGTATTAAATGTTTTACTATCACTTTTGTTATTAAAATCGTCAACTAAATGGATTAATTAATAAACAAATAGTTATTATTGTTATTGAAGTTAACTTTTTCAAACATTTTAATTTTTTACTTACTATTATAAGGAATGTTATAGCTATAAGGTTTACTGTGAAATGCTTTATAATTATGTTAGTTGAATACTTAAAATTTAACTAAATATAAATTAATAATAATAGATACCTTCTTGTTCTTCTGTTTAATTTGAACAAGATATTTAAAAAACAGTGTATGTTAGTAATATCCAAAACATAATATACATTTGCAATATATAAATATATGTCTTTTTATACCTTCAGTTGCATTTTTTGGTTCTGGAAGATTTTTAAATTGATAAACCTTACTTGTAAATAATCTACTACTTGTACTATTAATTTCAAAATTATTTATTTCATTTATTTTTGAAATAGTATTAGCTTTTTGTTTAGATAATCTAGTTTTTTCAATTAATTTTTTAATTATGCTTTTATTCTTATTTAATTCATTCTGATGATTTAATCTATTTATTTCTCTTATTTCAACATTAAGAGTTTTAATACCAGGTCTTTTTTCTGGATCTGCATCCCAACATTGTTCCATTAATTCTTTATATTCTATAGGAGTTCCTGGTACTACTTTTGGTCTCATTCCATTTATTATTTTTAGTGCAAGTTCACAATCATTTTCAAAATTAATAAAAGGTGGTTGTCCAGACGAAATTTCCCACATAAGCATACCAATACTATAAATATCAGATGCATAAGTAGTTCCTTTTCCACAAATTACTTCGGGAGCTATATAAGGAAGATTCCCATATATACTATTTAATGGTTTATCAGCTGGTCCACAAAATCCAAAATCACTGATTCGGAACTCTTGAACCAATTGACTAAATAATATGTTTCCAGAATGTAAATCTCTATGGATTACGTTATCTTGATGGATTTCAAAAAGTGGTAAAGTAATATTCCCAATTATTTGAATTCTTTCTTTCCATTTAAGTTTATTATGATTTTGTTGTAAATATTCTCTTAAATTTATATCCAAACGACTCATTACAAGCATATAATTTCCATTTGATGGATTTTTTGTTAAACCATAACATTCAACAACTTGTGGATGTTTGTTACTTATAGATAAATGAGATTTACCCTATTAAAATGAATGCATATTAATATAAAAGAATTTTGAATCACCATTTTCAAATACATTTAAATTACATACCTCTTCAAACCAACTTCTATTAGCACTTTCAACATTTTCTAACTTTTTGAGTATTACATATTGCGCTCCAAATCTTTTTAATTGTTTTTCTTTTGAATCCCATTCATTATAATGACCATCAATCCATTTTGCCGTATAAATTTCAGAACATCCACCTTTAGTTAAATAAATAATATTTTGTAAATTATTATATGGGATCCATTCTACTATCCTATCTATTTTAATTGTTTCCATTTGACATTGCTGTATTAAATTATCAATATCATTATTTCCAGATGTCCAATTTGAAAAATTCGATTTTAAATAATTTCGAACACAATATTCACAAAATAACGTAGCTAAACATTCATCATGACAATTTTCACAAATTCTTTTTGTTCCTTCATTTAAAAAAAGTTTATAATAATCAGAATTTTTATTTAATTCTTTTATTGCATATGATTTTTCATTTTTTGTAAGAGATTTATCAGCAAGGATAGTTTTTTTTATAAATTCAAATTTTTTGTCTAAGGTATTTTGAATATTATAATCTATTAATGCATATGCTTTATTATTTACAGTATTAACTAATTCTTTTCGAATTTCAGTCATGATGGACAGTTTTTTGACAATAAAAAAATGCTAGTTTAATAAGTTTAACAGTAAGAAGAATTGTGGAACGGAATTTTATGATTCCGACATCCCTGTTGTTATACAAATATGTTATGTAACTCACATGGGATGGATCATCATTTACCCTACAGAAAATTTCATGGGTATCAAAAAATTGGTTCGGTATTTGAATATTCGTACTATAATAGGAAAGTAATGTCAAAAAAAACCAACACAGCATAAATAATGAAAATTAATTCGTATCACTATTTTAGGTTGCGCTTGAACAAAATCAGGACAAGAAAACCATTCACAACGTATTGGAGAATTTTTATGCAATAAAATTATGATATATTACAAGCGTGTATTCTTTTAATTATGATAATTTATTTTCTTAATCGTTAACAAAACCAAAAAAAAAAATAATGTTTTACAAGAATTTTAATTTATAATTTGCTATTGATTTTAATGTAGGAAATAATTAAAGTTATAAAATTTTTCACACTATGATTTCACATACTAACTAATAGTACCTAGGGGATAGATAAATAAACGGGGGGGACAACTCAGGGTTACACATATTTATGATCACAAGACAGAACTGAAGTCACATAAAATTGGTTACACAAAAAAAAATCCATATTAAATTTCGCAAAATTTTTAGTTTTTTTTATTTTTCTCAGCACACATACATAGAAGAGCAGCTGATGTTAAGAGTTAAGGTTGTGCGTGCTAGCTCTATACAAGCGAAGTTTTTTTATCCAAATATGACCACTGGTTGCTTTGTTCTTAGTTTTTATATGTTTTTACCACTTGATAATAGAAAGTTAGAAAATTAAACTTTTTTTTTACAAGTCTTAATAAAAAAATTATAAATATTTTTATCTAAACCATTTAAAAATAGTGTTTACTTCCTTTATTGTGTATTATTTTCAAGTATATAATAAAATTTTATATAATTTTGAGGTACTTAAAGTAGCTGATGCTAAATATCTTAAGAACTAGAAACGCGAAGGCGATAAAATTCACATCATGTATAGCTTCGCAATGTGCCGTCATGGTGTGATTGTATCATATCGTAATTATCACTTTTTTATTAAAATAAGACCATTGGGATTTTCAGATTTTTCGCACATCTATAGTAAACTATAGTAATTTATATATGGCTTCAGTTCAATCCGTGATCCATATATTTGTGTAACCACGAGTTGTCCCCCCCGTTTATTTATCTATCCCCTAGGTAATACATAGACATAGGTAATACGCCAACTTGTAACATTCACGTGACACACGTGACATAGAATATTAATTAATCAAATAAATCACGACCAAAGATGTATATTTTAATTTTATTTTTTAACATTTTTTTATCAAGTCTACTGTAGTAAATACGTAATGCTCAAAAATAAAATGAACTTTGATATACCGAATGATATATTTCTCGGTGTTCAATATTGTAATTTATGTAATAGAAAAATCGAGTTATGTAGTAGTTTGCACATTATTAACTCGTATCACGTGTTACATATCANAATAGTTCAGGCGCTTTTTTTTTTTTTTTAAAAAAAAAAAAATTAGTAACGCGTTTATTTATTTATTAATCATTTAACAGAAAAGATTACATAAACATTAAAACACCTAGAAAGCAAATTAAATAAATTAATTTACCCTTAATACTAACTAAAGTATTCGAACAAATACTAGTATCTACTAATATCTATCTAATCTAAAAAAAAAATAAACTAATTTTATAGTTAAATTCCAATTTTTCGTATCTTTTCTTTCTGTGAATCTACTAATTATTTTATTTTTCGTTACTAATTTAATATTTTGTTCTCTATTTTTGTATTTTTCACTAATTTTTAATTTTTTTCTTTGATTTCTATACTTTTATCTCCGCACTTCATATCCCTATCTATAAATTTTCTAACTTTTTTATCCAATTTTTTAATACCTAAACTCTGTTCTATCTCATTAACTTCATTACACCTTTTGTTCCAAAACTCTTTCTTTAACGCATTGAAACAAAAACTCCAAAGCTCGTTAATAACTTCTTTCTCGTCTTTATCTTTTGATAACGTATTAAATTTTCGATTATAAACTCCTCTAATCAATTCCCAATATTTCTCTTTTCCAAGTAAACTCAGCTTCTGATTTTTCGTATAAAATTTTTAAAAAACTAAAATTTATGTTCTGTAAAAATTTGATTTTTTCATGCTTTTCTTCCTTCAATAAACTTTCTTCAAAATTACTAATCGAAAGTTTTAAAACTTCTTTTATCGTTAATTCATTAATCTCACAGATCCATAAATGGTCCCAATCTTCCACACCATTCTTGCACCTAATACATTGATCTGTTTCTATCTTGTTTACATCTCTTTTATATAACACCTCATACATTGGTAAATCCTTTAAAAAATTTTTAATTTTATATGAACGCTCCCATACATCATCTTTCTCAATTTCCCATGATGTATAAATATTTCTATTACTAATAAACTGTAATGTTTTATTCCAATCGAATTCATCCTTATAATTATAATAAAAGAGATCTTCCACCTTACTACTGTTAAGCATTTCATTTTTCCAAATTAATTCAGAACACTTTTTACGCCACGCTCTAAGCCCTCCTGAAATTAAAATTTTCTTCCAATAAAGATTAAATACATTACCTCATCTATAAATTTCATCTTATACGACTTAGAATCCATCATCGCTTTATTATTTACTAATTCCTCTCTTAACTTAGTTTAACCTTATTTTTTCTAAACTAGATAAAATCAAAAATTCATTTTCTATAAATTTAATATTCATTTTTTCCATATAATTTTCTAAAAAAGCTAATTCCAAATATAACACTTCGTCTAATGTTCCTTTTATTACTACTATTTTTAAAATCTTCTAATAGTCTAAGCACATAACTATTAACTCCTAATCCAACGTCACTTCCTCTATCAATTATTAATATTCCCAAAATAATACCTCTTATAATAATTTTAAACTCATTTTCAAGATTATCGTCATATCTTACACTAAATTTCAGTTCTTCCTTATCGCTATTATAATTTTTCCTAATTAAAATATTTAATATATATTCATAACTTCTTTTACCATTCTCTTCCATCCTATTTCTTATTTTTATATTTTCCACTAATAAAAATATTTCTTCTCCCCTCATACCCTTTTTTTCTTCTTCTATTAAACTATTTTTTAAAAATTTAATAAAATTTTCATCAGTCTCTATTAATTTATCGATTAAATCAATTCTCCAATTATAAAATTCATCATTTATATCATATTCCACGTATTCTCTTATTATTTCATTTTTCTTGATAATATTCCTTAATGACTCATAAGGTTTTAAAATTGTCTTTCTACTCTTTTTTTAATAATTCTGCTTTTTTGATTATTTATATAAATTAAACAAAAATCATTCTCATCTTTATTATTCTTCTTACTTACATTCTTTTCGCATCCACTGCATTTCACTAACTCAGGTGAGTTGTCAAGATCTACTATATCATTATTAACAACCATATGATATCCTAATCTTTTATATTTTTTACTTCTTGACTTCTTTTTATCTATCCCAAAAATTGGCATTCCTTGATCGTTATTCCAAGAAATTACCTAGTATCTTCTCTTCTTCGTCAAATAATTTCAGATGTATCTCTTTTAAATTTTTCTCTCCACACAAATATTTATCTTTAACTCTTCTCGTCATTTGATCTTCAATTACTTCTCTTTCTATTTTTTTAAACCATCTTGGTATTTTTCCTCTTAAATTTAAACCTTTTTCCATTATAAAATGTTTCCATTTCATTGGATGAACGCTATCCCCTTCTAACAACTGTGGTAAAAAAATTATTCCTTTCTTTCTTCTTGAATTAGCGCTCAATTTAATTTCTTTTTTTGTTAAAAAATCAATTATTTCTAATCCACGCCCTTTTATTCTATGTTCATCTTCTTTGTCTTTCGTTTCATGTATACATAAACACATATCCTCACTTTTTAATAAGTTTATAGCGTCTCTAATCCAACAATGTTTCCCTCTATATTCTTCAAATTCCATTTCTCCAGGACATTTTGCCGTCCATATTCTTTTTTGTTTTTGTAAAAACTTTATTTTAAACAAAGTTTTTAATTTATCATTTCCATTACTACTTTGATAAATTATATTTTTACTTATACTTTCTAGCTGTAAATCATAAATTGATTTGAGCCCATATATTTCTTTATCATGAAGAATAAAATTGGGTGTCGATTTTGATAAATTTGCACTCTTTTTAATTAAAATTCTTATCTTCCTCATTAAGTTTTCGGCATTCTTCACTAAATAATAATATTACAAATTTAATGATTTTTAAAAATAATGTAAAAATTTATAATATTAATTTATAATATATATTGAATTCGGTAAATTCTAACAGAATTAGGTTCCCAATTATGAATAAATATAAAATACCAAGCCAATAATAATCGAAGTTGACCAAACTAGAAAGAGAAATATTAAATTATACATTTTTATGGGTTTAAATTGGAAAGCTTTTCGTATTTTGAAATTATAATAATAACCCCAGTAAATAGTTTTTCTTTTTTCTCCGCCGCTGTCTATATTTATCTGAAGGACTTAGTTTTTTTTTGCCTCATCCGAAAAACCGGACTGGATGTCAAGTTCAAAATTTTACTTTGTCCCGAATAATATGAAAACAGCTGTAAAAATAAAATCCCGGGCGACGGCTGGGTCAAAAAAAAAGACAAATTGTGATATGTGTGATATGAAAACCGAATTTATAACTTTGCGCCGCCTTATTAATACATTGATTTAATGGACGAAACTATCATTAAAATATATCGCTTTAAATATTTTAAGTAGTTCAAATGAATATTTAAAGGTGTTTATTAATATAACAAATTATTGGATAAAAATAAATTTAAAAAAATAACAAAATTTTGTAGATTTTTAAGTGTGCTACTCGTAAATACACCTAATAATTCTGTTTTCCGCAAGTACTTATATTAAAATTTAGAGAAATTTTAAGTAAATTCGAGAATAATCAAAATTCTATTTGGTAACCAGCTCTATCACTGCGTATAATGGATCGTAAAAAAAATCAAAGGGAAGAAATATAAGATTTTCAAAGTTTGAGTTGGAAACTTAGAGATAATGGCATCACAGCTCTTTTTTTTTTATTTTTTTTAAAAAAAAGTTATTAATATATAGTTTTTAAGATGTAGATATTACTAAAAAAGAAAATTATAAATTGTTTAATAAATATTTAACAAGAAGCATTAATATTGTTTTAAAAATTGTTATTAAAGAAGTGAAATACGAATTATACTTTACAGACATATGAATCTAATTATGTTCCAGGTTGGCATTTGTTCAACACAATTATTGCTAATGACAAAAAAGTTGCTTTTAGATTGCACATTCCTGGTAGAAGATCTGAATTTTTGGGCAACGAGAAACCATCGAAGCTGCATATTGGGTGATTTTTTTGAAGGTGTCACTAAGAACTTGGAGACAATATAACGAAACCTGTAAATTATAAGATTTATAAACCTCCAAAGATCACATTCATATTATTATACAATTGCCTGTCATTACTTCTCGTTTTAACTAAAAAAGATTTTGTATATTTTAAAAATATTTTTCCTGATGGTCTTGATGATGAAGTTACTATATTTTTCAAATTCAGCCTCCAGACTTTCCCCAATGCTTTGCCGCCAAGATATATATTTGACTCCAAGATTATTAATTACTACAGATGTTGCATTAATAGCAAGTTGGATTGATAAGAAAAAGGAACACCTTATCATTTTAAAGATTTACCTTTTAAATTTAATCTTATCTGTTATTTGTCGTGCTAGTCGCGATGGTTTTGGGATTGATAAATTCCATAAACATTGCGATAATAAGGGACCAACTGTTCTTATAATTACACCCAAAAGATTGGTGGATATAATCCATTAGAATGGTGTCGTACAAAAATGGTAGCAGATGAAAGATCTCGTAACCACAAAAAATTATCAATGTAAAACGTCAAATAGTTTTTATTTTCATTAACAAATCGATTTAATCCTATATTAAGTCGAGTCAATTTTGAAAAGGAAGCAATCATTTGGAGTAAAAATGAGGGACCATATTTTTGGTTACAATCAAATCATCAGGATCTTTTATTAATAATATTGTTGGTAAAAAGCAAGCAACATTCATATGAAAAGAAAATCATTAATAAAGAAACTTTTGAAATAGAGGAATATGAAGTATTTCAAGTTATTGATAATAGATTATCTACCTTTATATTTAGTTAGGTTTCAAAAGATTTTTAAGAAAATTTTTACTTATTATTCTTATAATTCTGTGTTTATATTGGCTTTATTCTAGAGGTACTAGGAGTTTTAGTACATCACTAATATTTTTGAAAATATACTGTAATAAGTTACGCAGTAATGGGTTTTTCGGTTAGTGATGTAATGATTGATATACGCCCACAGAAATAGTTATAAAATTTGACGTCATATAAAAGATTACGTGAGAAATTATTGCAAACACATGTATACTATCGGAGTTTACATGTTTGTAACATGACTCATCATGGTTAAGTAAAATATAGTATAAAAAACCACTTTTTTCTCTTTATTCTCTTCAACTCCTCTCTCCTTTTTTATTCCTTCTCGCTTTTCTTTTTCTTTTATTTATTTTTTTCTCGTTAAGTATGGTAATAGGTAAGGCACAACCAACTCCACATCTCATTTTAAACCGTAGGTACGACCAACTTCACGTTAAAAACTTTAAAAAAGTTAAAGCCATACTTAAACAAATTTTTCTAATAAAATTGAGTCGAGAAACCTGTGTTTATTGCTCGTTCGACTTTCCCACATTACGTATATATACGTACGTATTTTATGTATGTATGTACATAGTACGTATGGTGTATATATGTAAACCAAATAATTAGATGGGGGGATGAGAAAGCTTATTTTTGATTTTACAAAAATAATTTCTTTCTTGTTCTGATGCACATGTGCATAAGTAGTCGTATCTGGGGCCAGAACATAACTAAAAAAACACAGTTTACATATAGAATTGGTCAAGTTGTGAATGTTGTTATATTATATATATATCTATATGTCCGAACGTCTCTGCTCAATTTTTGTTCTTAACAACCCAAATATTATTATTATTTTTTTTTAATCCTATTAATTATAAACTGGTTGTATAAGATTATAGGTAAGTGATTTCTTTTTTACCCTGATCGAAGCTTGCCACCTCTACGTGGTGTTCAGGAGAAACAGTTGTAAGTTAATAACTGGCCAAGAGCAAGCAATATTTGCAATATTTCATTTTACATATTTTTGGAATTATTGCACCATTTTGTATTGAATGTCACGTAAATATGTTTATTCATAATATTAGCATCATGTTACAAAAGTTAAGGATTCTTGTTAATAAGAAATCATAATTTTATAATTAATTATAATTGGAATACTTTACTTACTATTACTACTATTTGAATAATTTATTTGCATATTCAGTTTTCAGACACTTCAGATAATTTTCTGATTTTTAAAAATTAATAAATTCCTTCAAAAAAAGTAAAACTTTAAAATTAATAATTAAAAATTATTTACTTCAATTTTGTTAATTGATATCGATGTGTTATCATTATTTTTGTTAATAAAATCGTCAACTATATGAAATAATTAGTCAAATTATTATTAAAGCTATTTGATTTTTTTTTAGAATAGTTACTATTATAAGGAATGTTATAACTATAGGTTTTACTGCGAAATGCTTTATAATTATGTTAGTTGAATACTTACATTAAATTAAATATAAATAATAGATAATGTACCTTCTTCTGTTTAATTTAAACAAAATGGTAATTTAAAACAATGTTGGTAACTTGCAAATATAATAAAAGATATATGTCTATTCATACCTTCAGTTGCATTTTTTGGTTCAGGTAGATTTTTAAATTGATAAGCTTGTAAATAATCTGCTACTTGAATTGTTAGTTTCAAATTACTTATGTCATTTATTTTTGGAGCAGTATTTGCTTTTGATATAGATAATCTGATTATTTATATATATATATTCAATTAATTTTTTAACTTTACTTTTATCTTTTTTTAACTCACTTTGATAATTTAACCTATTCATTTATTCTATAATAAAAAAAAGAGTATTAGTATCGGGCCTTTTTGTTGGATCAGCATCCCAACATCGTTCCATTAATTCTTTATATTCTAAAGGAGTTCCTGATACTATTTTTGGTCTCATTCCATTTATTATTTTTAGTGCAAGTTCACAATCATTTTCAAAATTAATAAAAGGTGGTTGGTTATCCGGATGAAATTTCCCACATAAGCATGATGCCAATACTATAAATATCAGAGGCAAAAGTAGTTTGTTTTCCACAAATAACTTCGGGTGCAATATAAGGAAGATTTCCATATATACTATTTAATGGTTTATCAGCTGGTCTACAAAATCCAAAATCGCTAAGTTTGAATAATTGAGATATAGTACCAAATAATATATTTCCAGAATGTAAATCTCTATGAATTACATTTTCTTGATGGATTTCAGAAAGTGAAAAAGTAATATTCCTAATTATTTGAATTCTTTCTTTCCATTTAAGATTATTATGGTTTTGTTGTAAATATTCTCTTAAATTAACATCCATATGATCCATTACAAGTATATAATTTCCATCTGATGTATCTTTTATTAAACCATAACATGGGACAACTTGTGAATATTTTTTACTTATAGATAAATGAGATTTACCCTAAAATTAATAAATATTACATAAAATATTTGAATTATCATCTTTCAAATACATTTAAATTACATACCTCTTCAAACCAACTTCTATTATGTATTAGCATTTTCAACATTTTCTAACTTTTTGAGTACTACATTTTGCTCTCCATATCTTTTTAATTGTTTTTCTTTTGAAACCCATTCTTCATAACTTCCATCAATCCAAACTGCTGTATAAATTTCAGAGCATCCGCCTTTGGTTAAAAATTTAATATTCTTTAGATTATCATATGGGATCCATTCTACTATATAATCTGATCTAAGTGTTTCCATTTGACATTTCACAAATTCTTTTTGTCCCTTCGTAAAAAGAAGTTTATAATAATCAAAATGTTTATTTAAAGAATTTATTGCACATGATATTTCATTTTTTGTAAGAGATTTATCAGCAAGAATAATTTGTTTTCTAAATTCAAATTGTTTGTCTAAGGTACTTTGAATATTATAATCTGTTAATACATATGCTTTATTAATTGCAATGTTAAATAATTTTTCTCGAATTTTAGTCATGGTGAATTTAAAAACTTTTGATTTTATTATAAAAAAAAATAGTCTGATTTTAAAAAGAACGGTCATTTCGTTATTGAATTATATAAACAAATATGTCATGTGACATCAAAAATGATTTCGATGTTCCGTTCATTGAACAAATATTATTATATGATTGTACTGTATTACAAGCGTACAAAGAAAAAAAGATACTCTTCAAGTAACACGCAATAGAAGTCGATTAAGTTGATTAAAATTTTATTGTTTTTGGTGATTCTGCAAACAAAATCAGAATAGAAAGAATTTTTATGTATAAAAAAAATATTAATAATTACAACAATAATAATTTAATATTATTCACGCCTTAAACATAATTATACGTGAACAACTGAACACACAAATGTTCAAATTTAAAAACACCACTTATAATTAAATGAGTTTTTTTTTACGAACAAACTTTTATTGTGCTTTTTTACCTTCAATTGTAGGTTAGAGTTTTATAATTGATGAAATCAAAATTTCCATCACGTTAAAAAGTTTATCAAAAGCTTAATTTAATAAATCACAATTTAATATTTTTTAGATAACAATTTTCCATGAACAAGAATTCCTTCAACATAAATTCTCACGTCTTCTAAATTTATCATAATTCTTGTACCGTATATAATGATTTGTTCCAGTATATTCATCATCAATTATTTTATTTACCAATACTAATTTACTAGTATATAAATTATATATTGATAAAAAGAAAATTTTTTTAAAAAAATTATTTCGTAAAAAAATAAAACTAGATTGTAAGAATTTTAAAGATTACTATTACAATTACATACACGACATTTTAATTTATTTTCATAAAAAGATTAACATCATATTATTCTTAAATTTAAGAATTGTTTTATGCTTTTTATGTAAAAAATTTGAAAATAGCGTATACCCTATCCTATATATAGCACAAAAAGTTACAAAAAGTCTAATTTTATTATTCTTTTCAATGAAACTCTTTGAATTAAAAAAATCATACCAAAAATATAATTAATGAATCTGAAAAAGTAATAGTATGCAAATGATGCATAGTATATGAAAACATTTACAAGTGATTCATCAATTTGGGACGTTTCGATCCGGATAAAAACAAATTTTGTAGTAAGCGCTTTACGAATCATAAAATTCTGATTGTTAGTTCATGGAATATTTCAGCTATCCAAAATCTGCAATTCGGGATAAAACCTCGGTTTTTTATTCGGATATTTGACCAGGTCAAACTACCAATAAATACAATTGATTGCATAAATTTTTTATTAACATAGAAGAACAATGGTTTTACACATTATATACTTAATTTGCATATTGTCTAATACTATTAAATATTTATATTTTTGTATTTCATAGTAACATCATAATAATTTCTATTAATACGACCAATACATGTAATCATATCATTTTTTTTTCTTGATTTAAGGAAGGAGATGAAATATTTTATTCTTCAAATTCCATTCAGAAAAAGTAAATGAAATTAAAATTAGCTAATGATAAGAATTTTGATCTTGAAATTTCTGAATTCTTTAAATAATTTACAATATATAAATATATAAAATAAAAATATAATTAGAAGTAGTAAAGTTTTTTGCAAATTTATATTATCGTAACTATGTTATTTGCGTATTACTATTCATAATTTATATAACTTCAATTTAATTAATTGAACTATTTGAGTAAATGATTTAGCATTTGATTTTTTTAAAAAAAAATTATAAATTTATATTGTTTTGCATATTAAACCTACTTGATGGACAAATATTTATGTCAGTAATTAATATTGATAATATACTGTACAAATAATTTAATACTTTTGTTAATTAAGATTTTGAAAGAATTCACTTTCTGATAATCCTTTTAGTCATATCATCCTAAGAAAAAAAATACTTTTACGTTGTCAAACAAAGCAATGTAAAAATTTAATTATTTATTATGTATTATTTTCAATCCACCAGAGAATAATAATTTTTTTTTTCTTTTTCATCATGAAAAACTAGTAAAGGCAATAGTTAATTAAAATTTTTTTTTTTTACAAGTTAATAATTGTTATTTACATTATACACCCATATCAACTTTTACCTCAAAAATTAAATTAATATTAGAGGCAGCAATTGAAATGATAAAACTATGATTATATTAAAAAATGAGAGAAAGAAATTGAAATATTATAAACGCTGTGTCATTATTAGCCGCGTGCGGCGCAGCGCCAGTCAGCTGGTCGTGGAATTCGACCAATAGAATTGATTGACCAATGCAAAAATGCAAACTCATGCGCCTTATCGTAATAGAAGGTTTCCCTAACTGTATTTTTTTTTTTTGCTAAATTTTTCAAAATGATTCTACTTAATTCCCCACTATCAACTGACATTCTTAACATTCTAAGAAAACGAATAAATTATAATGAATTTGAAAATAATATTCCAAATATTATTGTATTTGATGAACTATCAAGTAGTAAATCTTCTTTTTTACGACGTTTATCTGTTTTACCAAATTACAGGTAAGAGTGAAAAACATAATTTCTTTCATATAAAAAAAAGAGAAACATAGATTTATAAACGTTATATCTTTGAATTATAAGGATAAAGAACGTTAAATACATGTTCTTTGTGACTAGTTTAACAAACCTTATTATTTATAAATTAATTTAATTAATTCAATATTTTTTTTCAATGAAACTGCGAAGATATTCCAAAAGAAACTTTGCCGATTGTTTAGAAAAAATTGTTTCCATCAATTCTTACGATTATTCGAAAGTGGTGGTTAGTGAGCGGTTCTGTAAAAGTGTCATTTATGTTAGTTGGTAATATGCTAAAAATATTATCTATTTTGGTAATGTTAAAAAAGGACTTTTCAAATTGGACATATGAAAATAAACTTATACTAATAAAGATATTGAGGCTGATGATAGTAAGTAGTTCAAATAGAAATATCATTTGTAATAAATCAAAAATGCTAATATTCTTTTGATTTAGGTTAATTTAAGAACACATTACTTGGCTTCAGAAATGAAAGTAAGTGTATTTTAAATAATTTCACAAACTTGAAACTCGCTCAACATTGCTTAATAAAGGAATTTTCAAATTGGGAAATCTGGAAATAATGAATAATAATTAATAATGTTATAAAGGAATTTCAGAAATCCTACGTAGAAATACTTGAACTGACGACAGTGAGTGGTTCATGTAGAACTGTCATTTGTATTAATTGGAAAAATGCTAATATGTTTTCAATTTAGAAACTTTTAAGAGATATTCACTCACTATCAGAAACAAATAAGGATATTCGTTATTATTTAAGCAAACGAACAAAAATATTAAATACAAAAGTTGCTCAGAATGATATCTATTCATATTATTCTGGAAAATGTGGAAAATGTGGTAAGAAGTATGCAGATATGACAAATAAATGGTGTAAATCATGTCAAATAAATCATTTAAAAAATAATTTTACAAACTGGACTAGTAAAAATGAAAAGATAGTTTCATTCAATAAATTCAATTAAAAATTAATGATATAATTTTTGAATGGATACCATATGATCAATTTACTGATAAAAGCGATAAATGTGATTTCATTAAAATATGGAAAAATGGTCCATTATATAATGATAAAAAAATATTGTTAAGGAAATCAAATAAAGAAGTTGATTTAAAACATTTATATAATTCATATAATATGATCAATAAAATTTTTCTGATTTTCTTTTTGCTTCTTTTCTGCTATTGAATGCTTCAAATGATGAACAAGTGAAACTTTTTTGTAAATTGCGGTTCCTTTAGCCATTTGGTTAGTAAATTCTGCTTTTTCGCACTAAACACCAATAATAAAAGGTTTATCTTCAATTTGTTCGATATGTTCGATATTCTAGCCATTCATACATTAATAGCTATTTTTATTATCTTGATTTGGTTTATTTTTCCTTTTATTTGTGTTATTAACATGATCTTGTTCTGTTTTTCCGGGTAAAAACAGTTTTCCATCAGTAAACATGAAAAATTCAATGTGCAAAAAATTCACGCAAATATGTTATTTTAAAATCCCCACATAGATAAATTGTATTTGCAAACCTTATATTAATTCACATGTTAATTATATCCAATAAAAACCTTACACGAAATTTTTAATGATATTTGTAAATAAAATTACCAAACTCATTTACGAAAATATAAAAACTTTCTTTCATATTATATAAATAAATGGTTTGTGCGCGATGCGTACAGATGTGCGCAAATGTGCGGAAAGTAATGACTAATGATGTGCGGAAATGTGCGCAAATGTGCGGAAAATAAGCAACAATGTGCGGAAGCGGAAATGTGCAAAAATGTGCGCGATGTGCGGAAATGTGCAGAAAGTAATGACTAATGATGTGCGGAAATGTGCGCAAATGTGCGGAAAATAAGCAACAATGTGCGGAAGCGGAAATGTGCAAAAATGTGCGCGATGTGCGGAAATGTGCGGAGTTTTTAAAAATTTTGCGCGCGCACACTCTGCAGTTCGCACATTGAATTTCAAACACTGGTTGTACGATAGTACATCAAATAACACAAAGACAAAAAAATGCTAATAGCTAGCGAGTATAATGTGACACGGAATCATTTTACTAACAACAATTGAGAAGAACGTATATAACTTAGTATGTCAATCATCAGATCTTAACATATTCGCATTTATTTATTTATTTATTCGGAATTTTTTCATTTCTGTTTTTCCTTTTTCTCTAATAGAATTAGAGCTTAGATCCGTTATCCGTATTTTACGGTGTAATACCTAAGCCCGTGATAAGTCACGTTGCCACCTTAGATATTGACAAAATATTACTTTATTAATAATATAAATAAATACAATAATATGCTTGGTTTAATAATATTAAATAATGGTTAAATATTTATCCTAAAATTTTAAAATAATTCTCAAAATTCGTAAACTTTTTTTTGGGAGGTTAAAATAATTTGCTATTTATATTGTAATACCTATTGAAC